AATTAAAGGACACAACAAGATCCAGAGAATATTTTACAATTCAAATAAAAAAAGTACTCTATGGTTATAAACGTGCTTTTATATACGTGCAATTAAAATGTCTTAAATAAATAATCTGAGAGGATTATATGTATGAGTTTATTCTTAAATATTGAATCCATCAATTACTCTCCAAATATACTTTCCAAACATCAGATACTCTCCAAATTAAACCCATCGCGAATATTCTCTAATGCAATTCTCAAACTGTTTTGATTCAATGAAATTCTCTTTTCAACATGCATATCGTTGCTCAGGTGCGTTTTCCAATAAACCAAGATAATAAACGTCGATGCAAACATATTTAATATTTCTTTCGTTTCATCATTGATGTTGTAACAATTTCAGTTCCCGAAGAGACAATTAATATTTAATACTCGATATCGTACAAACTCGGTTTCCACGTATAAAAATATACAGAAAAGATGGATATCGTAATTTCTAGGCTACTCACATCTCTTTTCTCTCATTGTTTCCTTTTCTCCCTTGTCGTTCGTTCTCCGTCCGCAAAGGTAATCTTGTACCAAACCACGTCGACATTCCATGCAATCTAGCGTAACGAACGTCGCCGTCGAATCTCCCCGATGTGGCGAGTACGATGAAGATAATGCTCGCGTCTGTCGGCCGTGACCCGAATCGATAGTATCTCGTGATAACTCCGAGAAGAAAAGAACACGATAACGAGTCGTACGAGTGCGAGTCAAAGGGTAGCTGGAGTTTCGCGTGCGTGGTCGACCAAGGTGTCAATGTTAATCACACTGGAGGAACTTTCACGTCTTGAGCAATTCGCAGCCGTCCCGTCGTCGCATCTATTCACGTCGAATATTCGATCAGCGTTCGACGTTGATCTCTTTTAATAAGTTCTCGGCGATGCGAAGACCGCAACGATGGTGCTGTCAGCTGCGAAGAATAGTCCAACTTCCCCCTTTCGCGAAGAACAGTGATATTTAAATATATTCTCGCGATTCGACAGCGATTTATTATCTACCGGCGAGAGGGATACTTACGAATTCGCTACGTTCACCGGGGCGGACTTTGTCAGCCGGAAATCGCGTCTCACTTTTGAATTCCCCGCGGGGAGAATCTTGACGATCGAAAATTCGCATCCATCAAAGTTCCTCCTCGCGCCCTGTCGAGTTCGTTCGATTTGCTCGTTTCGAAAACTTCGTCCATTAAATCTGTGATACACGCGATATATATATATCTGACTTGCGACCGACAGTGTATGTTCCGCTTGAACGAACCTAAAAGTCACGTAAAAGTCAGGTAAAATTCGGTTTGTTTGACCTCTTGCGCTGGCAACTGGTTCGCGGACCATAACGAGTGACCGAACCGTACACAACAATTTCGTCGCTTTCTTTTCGAACTCGTCGGCGATTATATCACTGGATAGAAATTATTAAGAAGTAATAAACTTATTTGTTATCATTTAAATATACTTGTATATTATTGTTTATGTTGTTACAATTGTTAGAATTATGACGAGCGGATAAATGAGGCAGAAGTGAGTTACCTATCTTATTGCTCGATTTTGATTAGTAAACGGGGAGACTGATTGCGAGAGTGGTATTGATATCGGACTTTGAACCGACTCGCGGATCCCGTAGTATTCATTTTCATCGATAAGAAATTTTAACCTGATCTCACTGGACTTACTCTTGACGAAAGCAACGCTTAGTGACACGGTGATTTTTCGTTTCTCCCTCTGGACGTAATTTTATGCATCTCATTTTCATCTCAGAATTCATGGTGCTGAAGTAGATCAGGAATTTGCATATATACATATATATATATATGGATTTTTTCCAAAAAAAAGATGTAACTTTTTAAGCGAACAGAACTCTCGAGATACCAGATGTGAAAATCAAAAGCGTTTTTCTCTCGTGGTGGAATTCTCGAAGAGGCGGTGGGAGATATATATCCTCCATCCTCAACAGTTGCGAAAAACGCGTTATTAATCGCAACCTGGTTGACTTTAGCGCGCGATAAAATTCGCTAGCCGTGTTATTATTTTCGTGCACTGCACGCGGCGTACATTGCCGCGGTAGACAGTGTGCATTAGAGCAAAGTGAATCCAATCCCCCTCGGAGCACGTTACGCCATTACGAGAATTACCAGCGCGGCTGCTCTCCCCCTCCTCCACTGTTTTTCTCCGTGTTACCGTAAAATTGCCCCGTTTATTGGGATTCATTGTTGTCCCCGTTCGGCGACGCGCTCTCCCGCGTATTTGTACGAGCCAGCGACACACACCGATCGAACGAAGAACGGGACGAAACGGGGTGGATGTCGGGTGCCAGTGTCGAATTAATTTTCGTTGGCCGCCATTGTTCGCCCCTGGAGCGATAAACGTTTTCGAGAGTCGTTGGTGCTTTAATTTCACGTCACCAGCGAAGCCTTTTTCACGGACCTCGAAGAACGTGGCGTAATTTAAAAGTTACATAGATGTAGACTTTTATTTTTTGTACGAACGCATTTCGTTGACACGCCCATGCAAAATTCCAAATGAATTATTTATGATGTTGTTACCACGATAATATAACTTATTTAATATAAAACAATATATTTGTATCTACGTGAATTCGTTTTCATGGTCTGAGCTAATTTTGCACGTCTTTACTGCGAACTGAATGTAACAGCTTTTTCAGGAAACGACACGGTCTTTATTAATTGCGTTTAATTAATTGCTCGTATAAAGTTTATTATAAAGAGAGAGAGTGTGAGTGTCAACGAACTGCTAAATATTGTACTCTTTATCACACTAGTAGAATGATTTATGTTTATTTATTGCTCTTGTCAAGTATAATTACGTAGCTACAATTCAATAAAAGAATGTTTTTATGTTTATTTCCTATTGTTCGTGAAATCAATGAAATTTTCTTATTAAAAAGTATCTGCAATTTTGAAAAGGATTAACATTGATCGTACGAAATGATTTTTAACGTGTGCTTCTTTTTGTAACATTTGTCTTTGTAAACAAATGAATTGTTTCAATTAACATTAATTATGCCAAACATATGTCTCGTGTACTTTACTGTCACCGACAATGAACGAAATCTATAATTGTTGTTTCATTATGAATTCATTTCAACAACTGGAAACACTCGTCGAGCCTCTTTGTTCGCTGTCGTAATTAAGGTTTCGATTACTTTTGTAAATAACGACTGCAAATGACGAAACAGGCAAGAGTTCTATGCCTGATTTATATGTGAATGAAGCGAAGCACGAAAGCTAGCGTGCAAAATAGAGTGCGCCAAAGAGTGACCTTTTGTTACATTTTCAACGTTCGTTTCATTGAACGACGCCATTCTGTTAGGGAATTTTATGTTCGTTGAATCAGGTATTGTTCACTTAGCCGGCACGATCCGAGGTGTAACATTGATTTAAGGGCCGCTGGTGAGAAGGTGAAATTGCAGCGAATTACTATTTCGTCTGGCTCCATAAAATATTCGTTCTGGGGCGAAAAGATAATCGGATTCTCGTTGGGAATGCTCCCATGCGATTCATTGGAGCGCCATTTGTATTTCTCGATGGCGAAAAGTGGGATCGCTCGATCCAATCGTCGAATTTGGACAGTTATTTTGCACAGTATTGAGACGAAAGTGATGCAATTATGTTCTTGAAAATAACTGTCTTTGAATATCATTTACTGAAACAATTTGTTGCAATTGATTATTTTGAGCTTTTGTGTAACATGTATCGTGTTAGATCTACAGAAATACTTTACAGTGGATTCAAATAATCAATTGCAAACTTATCTTTGATACAACGCAAATGAGATTAATTATTTAGGAATGAAGTATCAATCGCTTAATCACACGTTCACTGTGAGTCCACATTTTCATTAACGATAATGTTCGCTAACAAATAATTTTCGCATAGCTTCAATTTTACAGAGACACGAAACAATTTGGTGCGTTTCCTAAGACAAATTTTTAAATGTAATTTGTCAAAGTTTTTAAGCTTTTGATACTGAGTCTAACTGAGTTATATTGATAAGAATTTTGAAATTTGTACTGCAAAGAAATATTGCATAAGTTGTTCAAAGTCTATGACGCGCAAGTTTAATTCAAGATCTGATTTTTATTAACTACATTATTCTATTAATACACGTAATACTTGTTCATAGTGACACTCATGACAATTGATAACAAGATACATTTGTAAAATACAGTATAGCATTACACGAATCAGTAAGAACGATTTAATTGCCTTTTACCAATCAAATGGTCAATATGAATAAATAAAAATCTCGAAAAATACAACATTCTTACAGCGACAACTCAGAGATCGCAGATATAATAATCAAAACGAGAACGATAACGATCAAATGTGAAAAAAGAGGGACAAATAGTAAGCTCGTTTTAGAATGAAAAAAAAAAAAAAAACCCGGAATAACTTCGCGATAACAGTTTCTGATCGTAGAAACATAGATCCGGTAAATCATTTTGAATTTTTCGCGAAAACGTCGTTGTTTCGCAATAAAACAATATCCGTTCACGGTTCGTTCGATTCCATAGAATCAATATTCCAACATGACGCGTCGATTGAAAAACATTCCGACATCGTGGCCATTTAACCATGACTCGATGAGTCTCTCGTTTTCGTTCGATTCGGTCGAATCACGATTTGTTTATTCTTGGAAATCGCGAACGCCGTTCCTTACCAATCGTTCCAAATATTGTAAAACCGCGCGTGACGACATTCGATCGTCCTCTCTTTCTCTCTCCACGAAGCGTCCGCAAATTCTTGCGAATGTCTCATTCCGAAAATATTCGTGTACGTGTCGTTCGACTGTGATCAAAGTCGCACTCGTTTGCACTTACACACGTAAGAATTTGACGAAACCTGTATAAAAAATTGATGGACGTTGCGAGATAAAAACTGTCGTTCGCAAATAAAGATTATGCAGCTGCAGGGAGATAGTCGCGAGTTAAATATATAAAAGAGGGACCTTTGTGAATAGTAGCTGAGGACGTCTCGAGTCGGCCGACATCTTGGCAGTCGTTTGCTGAAATTTAAATCACAAGGACTTCTCCGCGATAATATAAATCATGAACGGGGGAAAATTGATTTTTCTGAGTTTGTCGCTCGTCGTTTTGCTGCAGGTACATAAAATTCGCGTCTCCAAGGCGGGAGGGACTTCGTCGATCAAAAATGAAGCGTCGAAGCGTTAAATTGAAACGAACGAGCGAAGTTCGCGTTTAAGAGAAATAAACGTGGCGTGAACGTGCTTTTTTTTTTTGTTTTTGTTACGTCACACCGCGGTATCCGTGACATGATTCTCACGATCGATGATAGAAATTCGGCGGTTCACGAAAGTATTCGAACACTTGTTATGGAAGAACTTGCGGATGTTTGTGCATTTGTGGAAAACTGAAAAGTGCGAAAATATCAAACAGATTTCTCGAATTGCGTTCATAAAAATATAAAAATGTGTAAGATTGTTACACGTTGTACTTTCACCTGTTGAAGATCTTTAAATTTCATAAAATTGCTAAATTTCGACTAAATGTACGTTGACATTAAATTTATCGTGATTTTTGTACATGTGCATTGTGTGAATGAAGTTTCTATGCGTTCGAGTATTTTCACGAGCAATTATAATTCATTTTTTTAGTCGTTCACGGAAATCCAGAGAAAGAGAACGTAACAGTAAAATATAGATATTTAGTGCTCTCGCGTAAAATAAGAAATTATTTTTATTTTCCAGATGAATCGATTTGTATCTTCGAGTGATTCGAGTAATGCTCTATCCACGTTCAGGACTCTTGTTTTTCCACAGTCGGTGACATCTAATACAAACAGAATCACAGATCTGTTCAACATTCGCCCGGTGTCTGAGGCGAAAACGTATAACATCTTACCGTCTTTTCTTTTGTCGTCCAATACTCCTTCCAGTAATCCAACTGCTGGTAATCCGACAAATGATAATAATTCATCAAATAGTGCAAATACAAGTCCCGTTTGAAACGAGCGACGTGTAAAGTGAGACATTATTAAAATTCAAATTATCAATAATTGAAGCATTACTAAATTCACGCATAGTGGAGAATATAACATTGTATTATAATTGTATTGAATTTTATTCATCGATATATTTATAAACAGATCCGTAGAATAATTTCTGCTTTTACGAAACATTTGAGGATGTAAAAATTTGCAGATTATACGTTATGTGATAAAGCGTACAAAATGTCCAAGTCAACACACGCATTGTAAAATAAATTAGTAGATAAACCTGAGTTTCGCTTTCTCAATTCGATGAAAATATCAATTTGCACGAATATCGACAGTCTTCTTACGAATAAGCTACATTTGTGTCATGTACTTAACACGAGAACAATTATAAGTATAAAATACAGTATTTTAATATATACAAATATTCTAAATTTTCCCTATTTCTGGCTTCTCCACGAGAAAACTTCTTTTGAAATAATTGTACACGTTACGTGAAAGAAAAGTAACGTGAAGCAATCGAGAGAAAGCACGGAACACACAAGCAAACGTTTGCGATTCAACATATACCTAGAAAAGATTCCCTCCTGTTTCCAGTGCACTTCAACGTCTCTGATAGAAATTTTACGTTTTAATCGATGGTAATTCCAGTCTGCCACGACTTTTCCACGTGGAAACTTCTTTTCAAATAGTTGTACACATTGCGCGAAGGAGAACCAACGTGAAATAATCGAGAGGAAGCTCGAATACACAGACAAGCAAACGTTTGCGATTCAACGTTTTAACTAGAAACCTAGAAAAGGTGACTCGGCTAGACGAAGTTCGTTTGCCTGGTGAAAGCCGGCCCGGTAATAATTGAGTTTCAAGCTTAATCGTATGGTTTAGGTTCGGCTTGTTTGGCATGATTTAACCCAAATTAGAGGTTGCACCGTACGCCAGATCACGCCGATCGCAAGCCGGCTAACTAGATAACCGTGATAAGTATAACTTTGTTAAATCGCTGCGCTGTTATTTGCAACAATACAGAAATTCATCGACGTTGCAATCATGGGATAACACGTTTACGTGTGCTTTTCAAAGGACAAAAGTACCGAAGACGTATCGTACAGTTACAGATTCGCGACTAATACTTGTTGTAGAAACTGTTTGCACAAAGTTCTGCAAAATATTTGAACATTAGCATCAACACCATTGTTGTGATTCACATGTGTGAACTTTGAAGTAAATATTTAAATTACTTATATTTCTGTTATTTCTACGAAACAGGTGTTTCTACCAAATGTTTTGTAATTTTTATGTATGTACATTTATGATATATCTCACTTTTTGCTAAAGTTTCCGATACATTGTAATACAAAATATGTGTAATAAAATTTATAAAAAGTGTATTATGTCTAGTATGTAAAATGATTTATATTATTTCGATCGAAAAATTTCACTTGAGCCCTAAAAATACCACTGCAGTATCATTAAAAAGCTCGCATACACTTTTTACACTTTATCTCCAATATTAATTTCTGCATTTCAATAATTTATTTTTGTATTACGACATCATGAATAATTTTTCATATTGTAAACATTTCGTCAAATTTCGTAAAATTATAAAATCCAGGTGGCAACGACAAGAGAACGTCAGAGCGAATTTTGTAATTATAAATTGATCGAAAAACATTCGATAGATTAACTTTATTGCACAGAGAAGCGGCAATTTTTTTGATACGAAAATACATATCTCGCTATATATAAAATTGAACTGATGATGTATTTCACGGCTTTACTATACAACAATAGACATGTTGCATTTCCCATGCACAATGCAATATTCCGAGCGGAAGTGCAAATTACGTTAATATTGATCAAAAGTATTATGTTACAAGATCCACGTAGTATTTCACATGCAGAGCGTGTACTTGCCCAAACTTCCACCTAGTACTGTACGCTGAGCCACACAGAACAATTCAGCAAACCGATAGCAAATGGCAATCGTGGTTCAAAGTTGCATCAACGTGTCCCAGTTTCCATTATGTTATCGCGAAATCGACGCGAAAACGACAAGCTATTGGCGGTGGAAAACTGTCAAGAGGGAAAATAAATAGAACCGGCTCCTTATCTACGCACGGTTTTATTAAACACAAAAATCGAACTATTCGAGACAGGCTGACAGAGAGAAAGAGAGAGAGAGAGAGAGAGAAGAAAAGAAGTGGATAGCTATTGTATTCACGTGGCAGAGTAACACAGCAGCCATCAATGCCAACCGCTAGCAGCGTTGGTCCCCAGCGGTTGTCCTTGCACAACTTCTCCCTTCCTTGTCGACGCGATCGCCAACGCAATGTCAAAACAAATACGCTTGTCCAGTGTAAAAACTCACCTTAGAAAGGCTCCACTCGCATGAACTGTTCCTACGGCCGCGTGACATCGGCTGGTTTCTCATAATCAATTCTGTTTCTCTTTTCACTTTTGCTGGATCTCGACGAATGACGAGCGAGTACACGAGCGTAATTATCCACATGCTCCGGGAATTGGAGAGATAGCAATCGACCGTGATCGGCTCTACTACTAGTTCTACTTCATTGGATTATATAATTAGACATAGTACAAAAACATATTCATATGCATTAGCCAAATTATCGGTTATGTTTGTTATACATTAACCTTAACCTTCGTCCGGCGAATGTTTCGGATTCGTTTTTGTAGAGAATTGGGTGCCACCCTCTGTTTAGAACGATAAGACAAAGAAGATTGTAATAAAGTTTCGTATGTGTAATATTTGTTGAAACACGTTCACTTTGCGAATGAAGATCAATAAGCATTAGGTATATGTTCATCCATTATAAATGGATTCGTTTTTCTTTAACATGTAATAATAGAAAACAAAAATCCACTGATAAAAGAATTAAAGTATCTAAGATTAAGTATTATTATTTTTTTCTTTTTGTGAAAAGTCTATCTAGTCAAGGAGTAACTTACTTATCTTACACACGCTACTCCATAAATATTCAATTATTTGCATCTTTGTAGATAATTTTTTCCAACGTTCTTTGAAATGTAGTTATAATAAAGAGTCACGTTCATTTCATTGTACGAACTGCTTCAAAGGGGTTAGTATTTCAGAACATAAGAGGTTGTGAGGTTATTGCCATTCCCAATGTATAGTATAATATTCCAACAGTTGTCAAATCTGACAAATTTTATTTGAAACACTTTCTTCTTATACTCGATACTATTAAAAAGTTGAGCGAAGCAAACGAAATAATATTTTCCCTTTCATCTTTCGAACTCGCGACTATACGAGTACGAGAGAATAAGCAGAGTGATTTACAAATGGTGGAGAGGACGGTTCAGCAGCCACGGGGATGCGTTTCCAGCGGGAACGGACTCCGAGGGATCGGAAACTACGCTGGGCGAGGCTGTTCCTGTTGATACGACAACGTTACTTAAGGGAGTCTCGTCGAGTGCGATCGTAGCTGCGGATGAAATCAAATTAACTGACGCCGAAGCGGAAGCTTTCGAGTTACCGGAAGTACTACTTGTCACCGCGCTCGAGCTCGATGCCGAACCCTCGATCCTCGTCGACTCTGCGGCGTCTGTAAATAAATTTCGTTATATGGGAATTAAACGTGTGTAAATAGTAACGATGTCGAGGGATCTTGGTAACATAATTGCCCCCCGTTGATCTTTTGATTACTTTTGAATCATGCATGAGGTTGGATTGGAAAGCTACCTGTAGGTCGAAGCTTCAATTTGCTCGATGCTACATTTTAAATGATCTCTAGAAACTGGGATCTTTCTAGTTTTGTATTGAGAAATAAAATGCATCTCTGGCTATTCGAATAGATATTAAACGAGAGATACAATGTACTAAAAAAAAGAAAAAAAAATAGACACACTTTTTAGTAAAGTATATGATACATGCTGAAGATATGATACGAAATATTTTTAGAATATATGTTGATTAATCATTGATCGTTTCAATAGATATTAATCTCTGTCTGAATCAGTTTGGATCCGTTCTTTATAACAATAAAATGAAGATGAATGTAATAAATATTCCAAACATGCATACGGCATTTATAAAATATCATCGTATACAGTGACAACTACAAGAAAGTTTAAAATATTGTAATTTTACAAGACCGGATTTTAATTGACAAGAACAATATAATTCTATATTCTGAAACAGATGATACCAACTAATGCAGAAAAAATGTGTACGCATGTAAAATATCAATTTTAATCCATCACTATATGTATAATATCATTGCCTAACAACTCATAAAGTCAAATCATTTGTTTCCTAAAAAAAAAAAAAAAAAAAAAACTGAACATTGATCACAAAATTAACAAGTTAATAAAAAATGGGATTGATCAATCAAGTCTCACCTGTCAGCAAACAAGATTCGTCATCAATTCGTTCAGCACGTACACTGCTGGTAACTGAAACATTGGATTCAGCGGACGCAGAAGCATCAACAGTCACCGATTCAGGCGTTGGAGCATGAACGGTAACCGGTACAGGTATTGGCGGAGCAGTTGGGCCAGCAATGATTATGGGTCCGGTGGAGGGGCCTATTACAGCGTTCGCTGATGCTATGCCTACTGTTTCTCCAATTACCGCGGTGTTCGACGATGCTTCCGTGGCCGATGATTCTTCTGCGTTTTCGATTGCAGCAGCCGCCTTCGCTGACGCAGCAACGCCGCATTTCTTTGTTTCAGCTTCGGCTGACGCTGCGTTATTGGCGATGGTTGCGGAATTGTCGGATGGTGCCACCAGCGTAACCGCGCCAGCCGTGGCTCCTTTAACGAGGACTGTATCTTCTGGCACGGCCGAGACCACGGTTACTTCTTCTAAAAGAAGACGAACGAATTCAACGTCAGTAACACTGATTTATCTATCACGGCCTGTGTCCAAGGATTTCGGACGTCCACTTTGATAACATAGCTCCTCGTCGATCATTGAATCAGGATCATTCCAAATTTTTCACGCGTTTCACACGTTTCTGGCAAAATCAGAAGATTCTAACGAACTTTAATTAACTTCTAGAGTAACTCTAGAGTAGTAGAGACGAAAAATTAACATTTCCAAAGTTATAAGAACCGTGTCCACGTCGAACCATTAAAAAATGGCACCTGAAGTATATCACACGCGGCCATTTTTCCTTTTACAGTTGAAAAATCTGAATTATGTATCCTACTCATAATGCAAATAACTTAGATCTAGTAATATTTGAATCGAACCACGAGTGAATCGATTATAAGCCTTACTTTGTACTGTTTCAGGAGCAGTCGGAGAACAGTCTGCGGAAGTTGCAGGTGACACAACGGTCACTGGCCCGGAAGATGATCCCTGGACGATGGTTTTTGTCACAGGGCCAGCAACTATGGTTGGGGCATCGTCGATCGACCCCGCGGGTAACAGGCTCACCGCAGGTGGGACTTTATAAACTGGTGCAACGAGCAACGGTGCGGCCGATTGTCCAACGCCCACTATTTCACGATAAGGCGAACTGCCGGCGCGAACGGACATTAGGAGAATCGATGCCGCAAACCGCAACTGAAAACGTAAAGGGTAAGGCGTGATTTATCGAGACGAACGTCAGAAACGTGGGCCGCGGCAGCACAATAGTTGAAATGCTTTCTTGTAATCTCGCTCGTAAATAACTCTGCCCGGGTATTAACTGGATTCGTCGTGACGCGTTCGTCGTCAACTTCCTTGAATATTCAGCAGTGGTCGAACGTCTATTCATGGTCGAAAAGTTTAGGTACACTTTCTATTGGATACACGTGAAATCTGTATTTCTACATATATGTATGTCTGTGTTGTGTAGTATAGTTAAAATATAGTAATAAGCTTAAATATAACCTACTAACTACTGAACCAACAAGTTATTTTAATTGATGTTTAATTGATAATTAACGGTTCAAACTAATATTTTGTAAACTATTAAAACAATTACCAGCTCAAGCACTTAAATTTTACGTAAGTCATTCTTCATTGTCGTTAAGTGTGAAGTATACTGTAGGAACATTTTGCACTTTCGATTGTTATAAATTTAAACAGTTTTTAAAATCTTTTAAAGCGAATGTTTTTTAAAAAATATCTTTTATTAAGATATATTCGTTTATTCAGTTTCATTCTTCACTTTTACAAAACCATTAATTAGACATATATGATGAACTGTTTAAGTGTTCTATTTTAACATAATCGAGATCCTAAATACGTAGGAAAAAGTGTGTAAAATTAGCTAAAAGTACAAAAATTTATTGTCGAATTTTACGCCATTAATTTAAATGTATGATTTTAAAAAAATTGTGAATTTTTGAAACTGTGAGATTTGATTCCATTCTTGAAAAACAATAGAATTAAATACATTCCACTTATTCGTGAAATTCGATGGAAATGCGTTCAAACAACATTTGTGAAAGCTGAAGAATCGTAGAATAAATATTAATAAATTATCGAAGCTTAAAATTTCATTGCAGAAGACATGTGCATTCAAACGAATAAATAATTCTCATTACGAGCAGTTAAAAAAGCAGTATTAAAAAATTATTAATATTCATTTTAATTTCCGAATGTAATCTTTGTGTTCATTTCAATATTATAAAAAAGAAACTTGTTGGTTCACTGTAGATCTGATATCTGGTACACACTTTCTACGTCTGTTTTAATACATTGTACGTAGAAAATGGATGCCTGTCTTTATATATGTGAAACAACTACAATGACAACAGTATGTCCAAACTTATTGCAGATGTCCTTCTTTATAACCACGAAGAGAGAAACCTATCATCCGCTTTAATGAATCAGGACTTGAACTTTGACCTCCCATTTACCGATCACGATTCTCAGTCGGTGTATGTAGGTCCTCGACTTCGCTACTTCGAGTTTAACCCTCGAACGTCCATTATCCTGACTATCCATTACCGCGTTAATAACTTTCGAAATTACCATTCGAATTTGCGTTATCTCGTGCCGAATGGGAAGCTACTAACTTGTTCTGTCAACGAACGTCAGCCGTTTCTTCTCCCGAGGATTAGACGAGTGTCGAGCGTAATGAGGATAACTAGTTTGATCATAGTTTAAACATGATCTATGATCGTGTCAACGGGACAACTGATCCGGGAACAATATCTGTCACGCATCCGCGCGATCCAACGCGGATACAGTCGCGCACATGCATCGCGAATTTGCATAACTTGGTTTCCTGGCAGACGCGTGCCGCGCATGAACATTTCTGCATCTGTGTACGTGGACAGACAAATCGTTTTTGGCATCGAGTGCACCTTCGAAGAAAGAATTTGCTTTCTCGATACTTTCTGTGCCGAGCAATCGCGATTGATCAGTCCGATGGTTTGTTCGAGATTGAATCGAACGATTCGTAGTGAAACTGCGATTAGAATGAGACGAGAAAGATTTTCAAAGGACTAGTAGAATATTTTTACGAAATTCAGTCCCGTTCAATGCTGCGATATATCAGGTAACGATGCAGAAAATTTTAAGGGTCAGTTTTCTATTGGATAGATTGAACTGCTTGTTTTAACATTAGAAATACCGACGATTGGAGCATCAGAGATTAAAGTGAAAAAAATATATGTATATAAAAACTTTGTTATACAAGCAGATAGCAGAAGCTTTCATTTTACGAAAAATCATTCAAAATCTCTAAAAATACACTGTTTTGTATCTGCAAAATTACAAACTGGTCGTTTGTTTCATTCTTTTAGTTTTAATGTTAAGTTGAGGATTTGAAATAGATTTAAAATAGATTTAAAATAGAAGAATATCATTACGATATTATTCTACTCAATATTCAAAGATCGAATTGTTGGCACAAACAATGATAAGAAAAATATCAAAGAATTATCATCGTCATTCTATTCGATGCTGGGATAGTTAGCGACCGTTTGAAGATCAGTTCTCCATAACAAGTATCTCGATTAGCGAATTAATACGGTTCGTTCGTGGCTTCGATCGAACGCTTCGTGATGGAATTGCAATCAGGTCCGTTCGCAGTGAAAGAACCGAGAGAATAGTGATAGAGAATTAGAGGAATGTCGTTATACTGCTCGACGTTGAAAGGATTGAAAGATCAGGCCTTTAATAACAGAGATCTCAATTAGTAAATTAATTGAATCGTTGCCTCATTTAGTCATCGATTGAAATGAAAACGAGGGAATTAATGAAATATTATTTCGTGTGAATGTACATCCCAACAAAGCTCGACGATCAATATTATCACGGGCTGGATGACTGTAACGATATTGAATGCTCGAATGTCGATATTATCATCATCGTGCTATTATTTTATTGTTACACTCCGATAGCAAACGTCCGAATAACCCATCTTTCGCAACAGGGGATCACGATTAACGAGCAAATTGATACAAGTTATATTTCCCGCCGTCGTAATTGTCAGGCCATTATCACCGTACGCCGCGACGGTTATCCGACGGTATTTAAACGGAATCAATGGATTACCCGTCTTAATCAAAGTTACAGAAACGCCTGGCCATACGTTTCAATTACCCGTGCTGCCAGCGTGCAGCGTGGCGCTCTATATATCAGCGAAACATTGGTCAGAGCCGTTCATATTTCACGTGGACGACACGAAAGTGCATTACGAGCTAACAGATTAAAGTTTTCTCATCAGGAACTGCCGCACGGATTCCCTTCTCTTTTCGTAACAATTTCCCCTTCGACCCGGCTCGATGAGCTACGATAAAGTTTTCTCTCAGCTTACCAGCAGCAGCTTCATGGCTCCGGCCCGTTCCGCGAGTCTCGTTTTCTCTTTCTTCCTTCTCGATTGTCCTCTTTATCCCAGCGGAATTTTCCCAGGCAGTCCACCGTCGCCTACTGATCCATTTCGTGCCGGTTCGAACCGTATATATACTCGATTACGTGTAACCTCCGATGATGAGTAAGGAAAAACGGCCACCGCGCCCTGTTTCCTTCGCAAAGACGGCCGGACTCTTTGGAATTCCGTTCGCGGAATGGCAGAACAAAGACTGGTATGTACGGTCCGCGCTCGAGTAGATGCAGACCAGTTCTCTCTGTCGGCCACCACTTTCGATTATTAACGCCTTAACCGGGGAATTAACAGGAGAACCACGGTCAAATAAATTGCAAAAAGCTCGTGTCAGTGAAATTGAAGTTGCTGGGAGTTGGGAAGAGTTTGCAACGTTTTTTTACGTGATTTACGAACAAATCGGATAGAAAATATAAATATTATGTAAAATACGTCCGACTATCAATTAATATTTCATCTATTTCATTGTATTATTGTATTGTATTACAATAGAAATTATAAAACTTGCGTTGCAGAAATTCGAATGCAAGGAACAGGGAAAAGACGAGTAACACAAGTTTCTATTAAGATATTTTATGAAAAATCATTCAAATTTCTAGATCCTTGTGGAAATGCAAAGTTTTTACGACAAATTACAAATTGGTCAGTTTCAGTTAATCACTTTTTGCAATTGACGAATGCAATGAATAAAATAACATTTAGTATTATGAGAATTGTCCCTTGACATACCAAGCAGTGTCATTCAAGGAACCCAAAATGTACAAAATTAAAATACTCTATATACTTACAAGATATAATATAAGATCAGGACGACGATTATAAAAATCCCTCTAAATTTTTACTTAAAAGTAAGAGAATACAAATTCAATCACTAGTGGAAGGTAAAGTATTGAGACGTGATAAAGATATATAATATAACACGTGCTGTGATGTTACATATACACGAATCTCGATTCATTCAGACTCGAAGAGTTAAAGAACAAGGGAAAAACGAACAGATTTATCATCTATTACGTGAAAGATACATATTTGAGTATCTATATTACAAATATAATGGATTTTTTAGTGACGAGAATTCTTTACTCCATGTACCTTCATACTCTATTCAAGTGGCACCGTGGCCTCGGTAGCTGCAGCTTCAACGAAAAGATAATTTACATCCTAAATGCAGACATATTTCCATTCGCTGCACGTTGGAAGATGAAAGCTCATGGAGACCAGTCCTTGCAATCTCTTTCGCAAACGGACGATAAAATTATATTATCGCGGGGCATGCGCGCGCGCAAAATAAATAGACGCTCCGGCCGGAAAAATAGAAGTCAGCCAGGGGGGAAAAAAAAATGGTGAATTGGAGGTGCGTGGACACGGGCAATTACTTTCCAGTGTTGTAACGTTTGACTGCACTTTCAAGACAGAATTTCCTGCTTTGCTAATATATCAGCAATCGAACTAATTTTAATCTATCGATCGCCGCGTATTCAAGGCTCACGCAGAATCGAAAGTCAATTTCGCAACATCCCGCGCCGATTGCATCTTGTACAATGGAACCCTAAATTCCGTCACAGTTTGATGATGAGTTCAATTGAATTTAAAAACGATCCAATGTTTCTCGAAGACGGTGAAAAGTTCGAAAGAGAATCGATGTACTCGAAAGTCTTAAAAGTTTTAATATTTTTGAAAGTCTTGGAACTCTTGGAGGTCCTGAGAGTCTTGGAAATCTTGAAAATTTTATTTTAAAAAAGTCTTGACAAGTATTTAACAAACATCTTCAATGCTTCGATCTAAGTAACTTAAGAGATTCATTTGGAATCATATTATTCGTCTTTATAGATTACATGATGGTAAATTGATTAACCATTCAAACACTATTTCATTGAAATGATATGGAAAATGATATGCTTTTGTTACATTATTCGTCTTTATATTTTACATGGTATTACATGATGCTTTAATAAGTTTTTAATTTTTCCAGCAAGATTTGTAAAAATTAAATAAAATATGCAAGATTTTCAAGATTATCAAAATTATTAGGATTTTCAAGAGTTTGAGGTATCGAATCCTATTCAAATACGTATATATTCAAAGTGCTTGGTAATTATTAACTGACAATATTTATTTCTTCCTTTCGCGAACAAAATCTTCACCAGTTGATTGTTAAACGTAATGAGACAAATACAGGAAATGTGATCATGGTACAATCTGATACAATGGTGCAAAAATAAGTCGAAAAGAATATCTTTTTTTTTTCATTTGAGACTTCGTTTTCGAGAAAATTCAATTTGACAATTGATCAAGTAGTATACCCGTACTAAGATTATCCTCAATTAAACACATTCAAACTCTATTTTCTTGAAAAGAAAGCCTTGAGTGGAGAAATTGTATTTCTCACTCATTCGAACACAGAATTACCTTCTATTCAAAAATTCATTCCTATTCAGTACAGAATTAATCAAACTCAAATATTACTTAATGAATTTTAAAATTCGGTGTTCATAAATGAAGATATTTTTCTTTCTTTTCCACTTCTTTTGCATTACGGAGAATCCTTTTACGCCCTTTGACCGATTGTGACATCTTGAATATTTAATTGATTAATTGTACAAGATAAACTTATAATGAAGTTACAACGATTAAATAGAATTGGAATAGAATATTCGATACTATTAAAATACATGGAACATAAATTTTATTCGGTTTAATGCAATTTTTTCTATAAGAAGCGATAAATCAAGTAATGGAAATAATTCAAGATGGCGAGAAAGGTAATCGTTGCGTTCAAATATTATTTATTGAATTTATTTATTATATATTATTTATTATTATATTTATATTTATCATATTATATTATTATTATTATTTATTATATTATATATTATTTATTGTATCTATTGAATAGGGAAAGAAATAATTTTTTGTCCATCTTACATTAAAAAAATTGACAATGAGCAAAGAAAGGTCTAAAGAAAAGTACACGAATTTTCTCTACAACTGCGGATACATTCATATACGTGCTGCACCACCATACAAAGATATCTTTTTCGCGAAAAAAGTTAAAAAGAAAAGCAAAAACAAACAAGCAGAATATTAAAAAAAAAAAAAGAAAAGAATAGAAAATATCTACTTTTGCATTTAGCTGATGCAATGGCAAAAATATTGAAATAGTCTGTGGCCGCGTTCTCGTTTCCCCTCTTCCGATTCCAAAGGTAACCTTTGGTCTCTTGCGATCGTTCGAAGCAACGAGGCAAACACATGCATACATGGGAAAACGAAACGAAACATGTAGAATAATGAAAGAAGAAAAACAAGGATTATTTACAGCTGTGGCAACTGCAAAATATGCAAATATCTCGGCGGCCCAGTTCCCCGGTGCTGAAACTCTGTAACATTCGCGCGGCGTTGCGTGCGCAAACGCGCGCGCCATCGAGATTTCTGATGCAACATCGGCGCTGTGCGAGTTCATCGTTTCAGATCGCCGTGTTGATTTACAGATTCAAGTTTGCGACCACGCCCGCTCGCGCACGCCGCGCGATATCCTGGCCAACTACGAAACCGAACAACAACACGCGCTGGTACATACGGGGTGGATGACGTACACGCCGGTGGACTATATAGGTTGGAAAATAGACAGTATAAAAGACAAAGTCGTGGCCAGGATTTTCATCAGTTCGCTCAAGCGATTTCTCAGATCGAAGAAGCTCAAGCCAACACACAACAAAAACCCCGACAAAATGAAATCCCTGGTAAGATTCGTTCGCGAGAACACCACTGCTTTTTTTTTTTTTTTTTGCACAAACTTGCATTTCGAGAGATTAAAGCGCGAGCAATAGGGAGAACTTTGGAATAGAACGTTTGCATTATTTTATTTCGTTGCTGTCGGAAGCTTGCATTAAAGAAATTGAAGTGCAAGAAAGAGGAAGATTTTATATGTATGCCTTACGAGAGATCGTTTAAATCTCTGGATACGTTCTTGACTTACAAACTTTCTGTGAAAAATGAGAAATTGTCGGATGTAAGAAGATTCAGGTCCCTCAGGCCTTTCTCGAGTAAAATATATTAACGCACTATTAAAGAGACTGTTGGAAGAAGAATGTTACTAAGAAGAAATATTAATTTTTCAATAGTATTAATTTATTACTTATTAATTTTTCATAATCAATAGTATTAATTTAATATTTAGCTTGGCCGTTTGTCCATTCCGATATTAACACATTAATTAAACAAGATGATCGCCTGCAACCGATTTCTATTTTTACAAATATTTTACAACAATTGAAACAAGATGAATATCATCGAAAAATATTGAATAACTCACAGTATCTATACGATACGAACAAATGAACTTTTGTTACTTTCCAAATATTAATTATCTCGCGTGGCAATCAACATGTTAACTGCTACTTGTAACGTTGTTGATAATTGTAGGATAATTATTCAATAACAAGACGAATGGATAAAGTGCAGGATAGATTTTGTGTTTGATCGTCGTAAAACAATTATTCGATACTAATGGCTTTTGTAAATTTTATTTATTATGTATTGTTTATTGTGTTTGAAGTTCATCCTCTTTGCCATCGTCGCTGTTGTGGCGGCCTTCCCTGAACCCGAACGAGAACGCCGTGGACTCCTTGCCGCCCCAGCTATCGCGCTTGCTCGTCCAGCTCTCGCTCCCGCTGTCGCCATCGCCCCTGCTCCTATCGCTATCGCTGCCCCAGCGCGTAAGTATTTTCACGAATTATCGAGAACTTGATATCGGGAGTCTCCTGCGACAAACGACGAGACGATGGAAATTTCGCGAATAAATTAATTTCCAATTCTTCAGAATTTCCCAATAGAAACAGCGTCGCGTGGAATTTTACTCTGATACCTAGACTGTAGTATCTAGACTGGAAAATTTTCGGTCTATGGATGTGCCTTTTCAGTAATGCTTTAGGTGTTATTACTTTCTACGGAAGTTGGTTGTTTCGAAAATTCGGACACGTAACGTCGATTATTCCTTCATACGATTAAATTGATTCTCGACTTTTTAGAATTTTCCACGAAAATAGATTTTCAAGTTCAGCGGTGTTGCAAATTCGAATTATCTAGCATTTTAATGAACCCGCGAATTTCCCACGAATGCGTCCATTAAATATATACACTTGCACTTCAAAAGTCTGGGATTTTGTGCACTTTATTTCTACAAAAAAAAAAAAAAAAAAAGAGAGAACAAACGGCTCTCATTTTCAGCAACGTTAAAAACTCTCGAGTCTCATTCCATCTGAATATTTCGAATATTTTCGGACGCTGTGACAGAGCTTTCCAGTTAATTCTGTTAATTTATACGTCATCAACGAATTTGATTTGTACAATTCATTGGAAAATAGGTTTTCATGGAAATTTGATTACTCTGCAGGACTTTCGCGAATAATTTCGACGTTGCGCGCAAACAGAGCAGAGAGATTGTATGCAAATTTTCTATTCTACATTTTTCAGCAGCCCTTCTAGCCGCTCCTGCCATTGCCGCCGGGCCCTGGGCGAAAGCATGGTAAATCATTATATTTAGTATCCCGGCGTAACTGGACCTGAAGTATTATACTATACACCGACGATGGGAAAGGTTTTATTTCTCGTCGTGAAAAAAAAAATTCGAATTCAGCGATTGGTCACACCTGATCAATGTCCCCTTTCGGCCTTAATTCTGATCGACAATCCCCCTGTAATCGGCATCAGTGAAAATTGCACGTTCCCCCCCTTTTTCCTATTGTAATTTAAATTTTACTATCAGATAATAAACTTATTTTAAATATTACATAAAGCATCATGAGTTTTCTCCTCGAAACCGTTCAATCCCTTCCGTAAGATCGTTAGCCACCAAACATATTTATGCAATCGATCATCGATCCTTAGTCTGTTTGTACTTTTCATTTCGCTCTTGTCATATTTCTATGACGATTCAATCAAATTATTACAAATTCTCGCAAAATATCTCCTTAGCCTTAATTAAGTTTAGGACCAACGTGGCTTAATATTTTTTCACTTGGAGTTTAATATTCTTTTGATTTATGATGAAAAGAGTATATGGTCTGATTAAAAAAAAATAATAAAGATGACCTAGGAAATTTCGAAAAATCGATTGATTGATTAGAGTATCTCCCTTAAAACTATACAACTTTCAAACAATTTTCCATTATTTACGCATAATTTAGAAGTTACTTCGCGTGTTACGCAAGTTACGTGAATCACCTTGTATAGGATACTTTCGTACTATTCTAATGTTTAAACTAAATGTTTAAACTAAAAGCGAAAGAAATTTGCAGCGAAGTATTAAATTTTCATGTAAAACTCAACAGTGATCTCCCTCCGTCGAGGGAACCAAAGTAGCATTCTTGCTAATAATCCAAGCCTAATCCGAACAAATTCACCGTCTAATCGGTTAAATTAGCAAAGTGCAACAAATTGCAAGTAGAATTATACTGATTTATACCAGCGACGTAATTGCTCGTAAACAATTTAATTAAAATACGTATCGTCGTGGAAATTCGCGATGCAAAATGTCTGGCATTATTTTAGCCTTTCGATTCGTGCATTAATTATCGTGGTTATGCAGGCCGCGCGTTAATAACGCATTCAACGTGTAAACATACGAGTGGTACGATTAATCAGTTAATTACAAATGTATGCCATTAACGCAACAGTTGGGGTGTTCGGCCAAAGAATCGATTTAATAATTATCCCGTGTCAAAAGTAATTGAGGTGCGATAATTAAACGCGTTTCCACGTTGTAATACAATGGATGGCCCTGCCGCCGTTTCTCTCTACAAATTCTATGGTTTTCGTTTTGAAATCTGCAATTTACGTTTCGCTCGTGTAGACTTTGTGTCCCGGCATAGAAAAGGCATAGAAAATATGGAGATAACAGAGCTCGTTTAATTATTTCTAATTGAAACGTTTGACACGTATCACTCAATTTGAGAGCGTCCCTATTAACTCGATCATCCAGTTTTCGTGCCCTAGTTTTCATCTCGAACCTTCATTTCTTCGACAAAGTAAAAAATTTTCGAAAAATTTATAGGGAAAGTCGTACAAGATATATTTTTCTGTCATCGCGAGAAAATACGATTAGATTTTAAATAATCCTAATTGTAATGCCATTAATCTATAAATCTATTCATAAATATAATTAGTCTACCAATCTTGATAACATATCAATGTTATAATTAACGGCAATTCCTCGAAATTTAATTTGTATCTTGATACTTGTTTAATATTTATTTAGCTGCTTAGTAATTGGATAATTTTTGTTGTTGTTAGGAGGTAACAAAGATAAGAACAATTTAAATTTCCAATTTGTATTTGATTTTTATTTTCCATTTCACCAAAGGAACTGCATGCTTGAAGTTATAAACTTCATCAAATTCTGTCGGTGCGTGTCAGCAACAGAGTTATCAATTTAAAAAAAAAAAAAACAATTGCCACGTCATTACGATTCAATTCAATTTTGAAGGTGCATTTACTCGGCGTTTAATAAATAAACTCGTCAGCCGAGCAATAATTTATCGTAATATCATAAACGAAATTTAAACAAATCGCCCCAGTTTATTTAAATTTCGTAAAACTGTAAAACCATTATAAAATTTCGAATATACAATGGTATCTCATATCGTTCAATAAAGTACAAATCAATTACAACCGAAGCGTCGCGTTAACGCGGATTTGGCCCCGAAATAGATTTAAGGTGCCAGTTTTTATTGAATTCACGAACACGAACGAATCCATTCGTTTGTAATTCGTCACTTTCACGCAGTTTTGCAATCCAACTCACAACGGGGGAAAGTTATTTGCACCTTAAACGAAACAGTTTTCAAGTTGCAGGCGGTGTTGGCTCGCGGGCCAGCCAAGTCGCGGCGGATTCATTATTTCACGTGTCCTTTCATTGGCAACGGCCACGGCCGAAGGAACGCGTTTAACAATCCAATTAGAAACTGGGTCCTCGGAGGACGACCCAGAGTGCTTGGTAACTTTTATCACCAAGTAGTATTTAAACTTCAATTAAACGAGTTGTTGTTTCGCTTCGGCAATCGGGGGATTAGGATGTGTTCGGGATTGAACGTATTCCAGAAACAAAACCACCGTACAATATAGCTTCGTTTATTAACTTAGAAAAAAAGCGTATCGAGGGTGCAACGAGTACAAAGGGGAAGAAATTCGTGTGGAAACTCGGACGCTTTGACGCTTGTCCGTGTTTCTTCCTTCTTTTTCATTGGACTGAGATAAAAGAAAGAAGACTGTCATTTTCGGGAGGTGTTTCTTGGTCGAAACGACGTTGAGCTTTGATCGAAGTCCCACGAATGGAGATTGACGAGTAGCCGCTTGCAGATTCACGAGAGAGATCGTTCGTGTTGTCGTTTGCTTCTGAGACGGAGTCCAGGGGTTGCGATTGACTTTCTACTAGTGTCCTGACGCCAACACAGTTCCCGAAGGACCAGAGATCAGCGCGGCACCTAAGAAAACAAAGATTTATTTTCTGTTTCTGTTTCATTTGAGTCTTCCTCTGACATACAATATTGTTAAATTTTGATTTATATATTATTAAACGATTCGTTTTAAGTTTCTACGTCTATGCAAATTCTTCTGCTGTATTATGCTTGATTACTTTACCTTTATTTATATGGGAACAATTTCATTATTTAACTTTATTATCAAATGTAGAGCCTTCGAGAGAAACGATTTATTTTACGTTCCTATTTTTATTCTCATGCGACTTTGCGATTCAACTTTAGTTCATGTATAGAAAAATCTATGTACATTCGTCTGTCAAACTTCAAATATTTAAAATATTTAGAAAATAGCTCTGGATATTTTATAAATCTTAATTAATTTGTTCATTGAAATTATATGATTTATAAAATATCGATATAGTATTTCTTACGTTCGTTCGAAAGAATGTATCAGCAAATCGAAAATATGCTTTGACGAATAATTAATACGTACGCAATAAAACGGATAAGAATCATTCTGATTATAATATTATATAATAATAAGAAGAACACGTTTCGTGCATTGTGCCCGATAATTGCACAGCTTTCTCAATAAATAAACACAAGAAACATCTTTCCCCTTTTCCGGAATCAGCGTATAACACCAGCTGAAAAATAAATTGCTTCAGAACGTTGCTTCTCGTTTAAATACTTGAAATTTGCAGACACGCGCGCGCTTTTCGCGGCTGATTGTACTTAATTCACTCTAATTTATTTAACCTCGGCACAAACTAAAATGTAGCTTCGTTGTTAAAGCCATATTTTAGTATAATTATCTCCGAATAAAGTTCGGTAACATACTGCACGCGAAATTCAATACGTTTGTTGCCGAATCAAGTCACCGTTAATCTGCACCAGCTATTAGCCAGAATTATCAACTATAAGTTATTCCCAAGTTCCGATAATACGGCTGCCATTATCATTACACACTTCGTTGTCCGAACAGCTATAATTACCAAACTTTACTTCACGTTGCAGGTTCTACGTTTAGAGCTAATCGAGGCAGTTTAAAGCGATTGAAGTATTAATTACCGGCAGACGGTCCGAGGAGAGCAGCAGAACCAACAGCGGGCCCAAGAACCGCAGCGGGTGCAGCGGCTGGTCCCAAAACTGCGGCAGCACCTGCAGAGGGTCCAACCACTGCGGTAGCACCAGCAGATGGTCCAACGATCGCGGCAGCACCAGCAGCAGGCCCAACTACAGCCGCTGGTAGGGCAGCAGGCCCAAGAATCGCAGCTGAAGGAGCCAATGGTGCAGCTATGGCCAGTCCAGGTAACGCTCCACCCAATAGCACTGATCCGGGGAGTCCCAAGGCTAAAGAACGACGTTCACGCTCGGGGTTGGCTGAGGCAACAGCCAAAGCGATTACAAGGACGACCTGTAAGTTATTTTCGACGAAGATTTAAGCAAATTTGTCGATGAAGCTAATTTTTATGGAATATTTAGAGGATATTTCAATGGTGGTAATTTTTGGTAATATAAAGAGAAACTGATATTGTGCGGTGCTAGAGAAAAAGGGATTTAGTGTGAAATAACTTAGAGATAACTTGATCATTTGCGATAGTTTAGTAACTGTTATTTTATCGGAAAATTATAGAAAGAGTGTGATACTACATGTGACGGCTAATTAATTTGAAGAAGCAGTTTGATGCAAAGAATTAATCAAAGAATCAAAATTTTGAATTTTATCAAATCTTGTGATGGAAAACTTCTAGGAAGAATATGTACCTCACTGAAGAATCTAACACAAGTAAGATGATTTGATATCTCTTGATACTTCAAGATGTGCATCTATTGTTTGATCATAAAATTATATGCAAATAACTAATCAAACAATTAGATTAAATTTCATCTCAATTTCCAGTACAAATCATTAAATAAATCTAATAGAAAGAACTAATTGAGTGAAGATCTAATTGATTTGATTTGCTTCCAGGATACTTCAAGACAAGTAACTATCGTTTCGTCACACGATTACATAGGAAAAAATTTGATCTCTTTATACAAGCACTTCTAAGAAGGATACATAGTCTTACTAGGAAAAGAATGAAATGATTTGATGTCTCTGTAATACTACAAGACAGGTAACTACTGTTCGACCGCAAGATCACACAGATCAAGTGTGATACAAACGATAAATTTTATCTGAACCTCTTGCGCAACCGACCGAAAGCTTCCAGCAAGAAAATATATCTTACCAAGTATTTCATGTTGATTCTCGTATCTATCTTCAGCTGACTGGTGACTGATGCTCAACCCTCGTAACACGTCGCCTTATATACGTGATCGTCCACGATTCTGGAGGCCGCCGATGCAACCTTCAACCCCGCATGAAAGTGAGACTAACAAACAAGACAGGGTGCGGTCACCGGCTACCGGGATTGCAGCAGACTCACCAGAGTTCCGGGTCCAACGTCACACGGAGACGTGTTTTAGCCTTCGAAACGTGTGCGAGCAGCTTGTTTACCAGAATAACGGCTTGTTGCGAGGGAAAATAGAATTTTCCCCCACACGGTCGGCAACGCACGACGCACGGTGGCTAATTTCAGTGATTCACATAGGTGAGCGATATTTTTTTTCACCGCTATTATTATTTGATACGTGTCACGAATCCAAAGTTTCGACGAAGAATACACTGAAATAATAAAAATAAAATAACGGCACGAGACTTTGATACACTGGACACGAAGTAATGAATATTAACGTTGGAACTAGAAGAATGATCAAAATGATCAGTTCGTAAATTTTCTAAATTCACCGTGCGTTTTAAGAAATTTCAACGATCTTTCATAAAATAAATGAACAAAAGTTTCTGTATGTCTTTATCATACTATGCACTTGCTTGCACAATGGAAACAAGTTCCAATTCTGTGATACGAGTTTAATTATATTTTAATTACCTAGTACTAGAAAAAAGACACTGGACTTTTGTTATTAAAATTATTAAAAAATTATATATATTACTGGTACTTTTTCTACCATCCGGTGAAAATAAACATTTATTATCAACATTGCACAAATAACTGCAAATTAAGTTTCACGATCGAGTATAACACATTTAATATTTTGTACTTCATACTTTCAGTTTACTTTACTTTACTTTACTTTATACTTTGAGCTTACTTTATTTTCATTCACTTTACGTTTTATACTTAAAAATTCAAAAGATTTTAGACCATTTCCGAAAAATTGATGTTCTTGCTCGTCTCGTCCATCTAAATTCTTAAAATGAAATGGCCACTGTGGCGAACTCACGGATCATTTAGCTTCAACCTTTCAATTCACCGCTACTTCGATAAAAGTTAATAACTACCGCGCGCAGGTGTAATTGTTATTCACTCCTCCTACAAATTATTCATACTCCACCACGGAACAACTCGACCGACGTTGTTTTTCGCGGCGTTGTTAATGAATTCTTGCACGCTGCGGGTATTAAGGGTTTGTGTTTGCGAGTTGAAATTTCAACGAGCTGGATAATTATTTAGCAAACTGGGGAAGGATACGAGGTAATAATTGGTCCACAGTGCTTTGGGCACAGAGTGTAATGTGGTTACTTTCATATTCATATCTCCAACACGTTGTAGTCAAAGTTTCGTTTGCTTGCAGAACAAGCATATCGGTTAATTATAGCTATTTACTCCAGTTTCAAAACTAATACTTGTCACGAATAAGATATTTATTATATTGGTGAAATACAATGAAGAAGTAATAAATTCTGGTCATAAAAAACTTTCAAGTTGCAGGATATAAGATGTCAGATGATTATTAAATGTTCGCTATAAAATGGTTCATTGTTACACGTCATAATTATTCCGTAATTAATTAGATTAAATTTCGCATCATTTAGCAGTACGAAGAATTTCATAGTACAAAATGAAATTTAATTGCTTTAATAAAAAGTCGCTTCATCAAAACGATGATACGTATAAATTACATTTTATGACCACGATCTTGAAACTGCAGTTAATCATACTTTGCAGAACCATTTTTAACTTAATATTTTAATAAACACCTCGAGAGGCAATAACTATTTTGTAATTGCAAATGTTACTGTACTTTCTGCAAGTAGTTTCACTCAATGCTTCGATGAATAACGTCACAAGTAGTTTCACTCGACGCTTCGATAAATAACATCGCAATTACTACAAATGATCCATTTGCGTGCATTTCGATCGCTCTATCTAATGCGTAATAAATACATTCAAAAAAAACCGTGTAAGACGTTTGCACGGTGAACTGTACGCCACACGTGGCGATCCTGCCGCGTTTCTCTTTTTTTCCTTTTCGCAACGACAGCTAGCAACACCGCGTACAAAGCCGAATACACGCCGATGGAAAAAGGGAAAACGAGACCGAGGGGGTGGTGAAATCAATTTCCAGGTACAAATTCAGGGAAAACGCGGGCGGTAAAACGAGTCGATTGTTCGCAAAGAATCCCGCGCGCTCGGTAAAGAATAAACGAGCGTCGATAGCACGCGAATAAAACAAACGGAGAGGTGGTTGGCCGTTTCGCGCGCCCGCCCTTTCATTTCACGTCGAGCCGAGGCAGTTTTGTCCTCCCCCCTCATCCGGATGGCCACCGATGGTAATCCGTCCTTTGAATCCAGCACGCTGGATGCCACCGGTGTGGAACGCTCGTAATTGCGCGTGTCAGATTTGTCAAGTTGGAAATCGCGGTGGCCTGCCAGCCTTTGCTCGTCGTGCTCGGTCGAATTTATGGCCGAGGGACATGTACCCGCGAAACGTTGCACTTGCCGCGAACTTGCGAAGAGTTCCACCGTTGATGGAATAATTGGGCAAAGTTGCTTCTTGGAGGAGGAAGAGGAGTTGCTTCCTCTGTTTGGATAGAAATTTCGGAGGGAACGGAAAGCAGTGGCGTCGACTTGACGTTGCTCACGTTTGCAATTCGAAGAGTCACTGGGTGTTACGATTTATGTCGATTTATTGCGTTAATAGTAATACTGGAGTATTTCTGGTAAATATGGTTTTCTTTCGAACGAAGAAGAAAGAAAGAATTGAAAACAAAATTAAAGAGTGAATACAAGTTGATAAAAGTTGCCTTTTCTTTCTCGATATTCTCGCGAAATTTTCTATAACTTTTTATAATATCCTTAGAGTGTTTAGTTCGTAATTACATCGCAATGATATATTACAGGTTCAAATAGAATCAGATATCAAATCATTACAGATTCAAATAGAATCTGATCTTAATCAGATCATTACAGATTCAAATACAATCAAAATATATTACACATTCAAATAGAATCAGATATCAAAAGACACACGCGTAAAGATAAATGTATTCTTAATTTATCACGTGCTCCTTATTTATATAGTAATTTCAGCATTGCGAAAATACCAAATGGTATTACCTATGATTCAAATTCAAAATTGAAACCAAACAATTCCAAGTAAACGAAACTCTGGTAAGAAACTTTCATAAATTCCGCCTAAATCGTTTAAATCGGTCACTGTGCGACCCATCCGATTGGCTCGTTTACGTGACCCTTCAATCAGACGTCGACTGGCATGGTAGAATTCACGCCTGGCGACGGATTTTCGCATGGTTCCATGGCCACCGGCCGGAATTCCCAGAGGGTCTACAGGAAAATCGCGACCGGACGAGAACATATATTGGAAAGTTGAAGTCTTTGTGACGAGTCGGCGGGGACCAGGTTCCTTTTCAAGAATATTCCATTCGATTTGCAGACGTCATCTCGACGAACGGTCCTTTTGGCCCTTGTTGTCAAAGGTTATCGATTATCGGGAAATTTCTGGCCCCTGTTTGCGCGACGCTGCTGCATCTCGTCCCCCCTTTTCATCGACCGATCGTCTCGTTCGGCTCGCGCCCGCTTCTTTTGTCGAGAAGATACGCGATTATTAGTGGAAAACGTGGGATTCCGATTAATATTTCTGGAAACGGGAGTAGGTCGAGCGAAAATAGTCGAACAGATCGGCATCATCGGCGGCGGATTTATTGATGAGGCGCCTTCGTTTCAATTCGATACTGGATTCGTCCGATCGCCTGGATTCTTCTTCGCGTTTTCAGTGATGAATCTTTTAAATTGTCCCCTGCTATTTAAAGCACCGCCAGCTATCGTTTCTAATGGAGATTGAGTAGAATATGCGCAGCGTGTATAATTGAATCAGTTGGCTCAAGAATAATGGGTGAGCGTCTAAAAATCACGTTTTGAGATATTTGAAAAGATTGCTTCGGTTCTTTTGTATGAATAGCCAAGAAAGAATAGCTGTAGTTTTCTTGCATCATTAATGCCATTGATTTTATAGTATTGTTTCAATATTAATCAAGACGAATTAGCAATTTATATCTGTCCAACTGCGATTAAACTTCGTTTGTAAATCTTTAATGATGAAAAAAATTGGACTTGTAAAGTCTTTGAGATAAAGTTAACTTTGATCAGGAATTCAAAGAAACAATAAACTTATTAATAAAGGAAATTAATAAGCTTTGTATACAGAACATGTCTCATTAACGTGTTTCAAATTGAAATTAAATGTAAATAACGATTAACATGCTGAAGCTCCAATTTGACGCTTGAAATAAAAACGATGTTTGAAAAATTATTTGTTAACGTGCTTCAAATGAATGGTGAAATTTGAATAAAAAAAAAAAAAATTAGTCACCATTTTACTAATCAGTAGTAATTTTTCAATTGTTAATAAATTCGAGTTTGAATTTTCTTTTCATTTGTTAATAACGATAAGTTACTAAAGATTAATAATGTTCGTAAATAATGAATAATTTTTATTTGGTTTCATTGCCTTGTTCATTGCCTTCAATGTCATTTAATCGATTAATAAAATCACAGATTACGATTTTATCGTAGAAACAGACGAACACGTTGTACATACTTCAGTGGCTCATTAAACTGAAAAGTTCGTCTCTATTATGCTCATAGAATACATTGTCTCTCGTATCAACGTGTATCTTCCCACATTAACATTCCAGTTTCGGGCTCCGCATTGTTCCTCAATCTGCTAATTTAATTGACTATGTGTTTATCATTAACCGTGACAAAGAGGACGGAATTTACAACTCGACTTCAAACGATTCCACAACACACTCACGGCCCGCTCCCCCAATTTCATCAGCGGATAAACGCTCGAAATCAATCGAATTTCAATTTCATTATCGCCATGTAATTTAATCCCGACTATACACGGTCAATATCGTGTCTTTCTAAATTAATTAACTCGTTTCAAACTAGTTCCCGGATACGCGTCCGTGTCATATTCTTCTCTCTGGCGAACGGTTTGTTAACGACGATAACTACGTGACTATAATTAGCCGATCGAAACAATTAACGTTATTAACATTGATAGCGAACGAATCCGGACAAAAGCGGGACTCGGTGCATAGGTGAAACGTGTGTGTTAACGCGCGAACGGAATTAAACGCGAGAATAGCGCGCGTTGCTCACGTTGGCAGGCCTGCACGAGCACACGACGTTGCGGCTGATATTACGTTAGGTCGATGGATAGTTGCATGCATCTCGTTGAAACGTGTCCGGAACGTTCTGTTAAGCCGTCGCGTTTGAAGGACAAACTAGCTTTTAATTAATTCGACAGTTCTTGCGATGAGTATAGATAAGCTATCTATTCAGAGTTTCTAATGTAACGTAGATGTGATTCGTATCCATAATTGAAGCAGTCAGGATAGACTCGCTGGCTCCGAAATGATATGATTAATCCAGAGATTTCGATTTCAACGTCGCGATTAATAGATTGGAAATTTTTATGCATGCAGGTATACACGATGTGTCATGCGTAAAATATACATTCATATATATATAGGTAAAGATGTGTAAAATATGTAAAGTGAAGTATAATTACGATACTTGGTGGATGAAATATATTAATACACTTGTATTAAAATATACGTATTTAATTTCGTGTGATTGTCAATGTACAATACAATGTAATATAATATTTGAAATAAATACGTGATATTATATTGATAATAAAATACAACATAATTTCTACTTTGGTATAATCAAAGTACTCGTTGTGATACTCTGGTAAATCTCTATTTAAATTCTACTTCTTTATCTGTTTATTCATAAAAGTATAAATGTGTACAAAATTCCGTATACATAAATGTGGAATTGCATTAAAAATATACGTATTTAATTTCGTGTGATTGTCAATGTACAATACAATGTAATATAATATTTGAAATAAATACGTGATATTATATTGATAATAAAATACAATATAATTTCTACTTTGGTATAATCAAAGTACTCGTTGTGATACTCTGGTAAATCTCTATTTAAATTCTACTTCTTTATCTGTTTATTCATGAAAGTATAAATGTGTACAAAATTCCGTATACATAAATGTGGAATTTTGCAGCCTTTTGTTTTCTCTAATCTTCATGAACCAACTATCCCGATCAAACGGGAGTACGTACCTGTGCATTTTATTCACTTCTTCCGTATATTAAAACGCAAGTACCCTCAGAATTTAAGGATTTCGCAATCCGTGCCGACTCAGGTGGAAACAATAATCTATCTATTAAATCTCCTCCTCCTCCTCCTCCTCCTCCTCTCGTCCACTGGTCCATTAGCGTACAGCCATCAACTCGAAGAGAACTCGAGCGCGTATTTTCCATTTTACCAGAACGGTAATGTCAGTATATCTCGCGTTGCGACATCGATTATCATACTTGACATCGCCTAGCTCTATAAATCCATCGCGTGCTCGCGGAGGACCGTTACAGGTCCTTGAAGAGAAAATCCGTTCCACTCTCGTAACCGCGACAACAACCGTATCACGGCGCGATAAGAAACGACGAGCAGGAAGAAAAAAAAAAAAAAAAGAAAAAAGAAAAAGAATTGGCGGTCGGTCGAATCAGGCCGGTTGACTTGTTGATCGCCGTACTTGACAGTGAACCGATTACGTCTGCATAATTGCACGCAGTCGGCGCGTTACGCATTGTTATCTCATTGTTTCGTCATTGGTCGACAGGGATCGAGTGAAACATTTTAAAGTTTTTAATTAGTCATCACTGGATAACTGTGATTTCTCTGACTATTCTGCTTTCTATTTCGAGAAATTTGTTACGTAGGTGAAATGACGAAATAATGAAATTGTTGTAATATTAAAAACAATGAATTAGCCGTTAATGAAAGTAATTATATGTCCAATGAAACACTTATCGTGTACACTTTTGCACTTTATTTGTTTTCTCGGAGGCAGAAGAAAGTTCCAAGAATTTTCATTAATGATCTTCTATCTCTTTTAGGTTATTAGATTAAGAAGAGATTGATTGGTAATATTCAATTATTCAATAACCGAGATTTCTAAATTAGCTAATAATGTCGATTCTCTTTCTTGGCACATGATTACCTTTCAAATAAATTCCTTCAGTACAAAAGTTTGTAAAATGCTAGAGGAAATTATATTTTTCTGAGGATTAGATACACATGCATACTGTATTTATTCTAACGATCCTACAATTATCTAACAATCCCCATTTACTAAACGTTAGAAAAATACAATCAGTAAAATTTCGTGACGATTAATTACAGTGGTTATTTGCTACACTGTTTCATTTATTATTTCATACCCTTCAATTGCAAAGAGTTAAAAATCAACGTATGTAATAAAAATGAAATTTATATTATTCAAAAATGATCGAGACACTCCGCGCAGATTACAAATAAGAAACTCGATGAATAAGCTTTCTCACAGTGCGCACAGTCTCATTCGATTCTTATTCTTCGAGAATTTCTTCGCGTAGGTGTTATCCGACGCACAGGTGGATCTACACAGGTGCAAATCTTCCTCTCGCCGTTTCTACGATCCACAACTGTGCACAACGGCAGAGGTATGCGTTGAAATATTCATGACGCGGGTGCTAGGAAGGAAATGGAGCCCGCGCGTTGTCTCTAAGCGCGTCTCTGAATCGCGCGCGCTGTTTGCAAAATTATTCGTACGTGTCTTTTTTTGTGTAGGACGAAACAGGCCGCTGCGAAACCGATGTATCGATCGTTTGTCGATACCAGTTTGCAGATTCGCCGTGGCTTTTGCAAGGCATTTACAGAGATTAATCACGCAGAAATATCCCGAAATGTCCGAAATTTTGACAGTTCTGATCAAGCTCTTTGAACGAAAGTTCCTCTTTGCCATCGACAAACTATTTTGTGATTGCAATTTCAAATTTTCGTGACCGCAGAAACGTAGCCTGATGCAAAATTTGTACTCTGTTTCCATTATATTTTTGCGTATTGTTGCGATATTTTCTGCATCTTTCCAGCTCGAACTTTTATATAAGTTGTGATTACAAAGGGGAATTGTTAATTTTGTAGATTTTCATTCACAAGTCAGCGGACAAATTTAATAAAATTGAGGGTATAGGTGCAATTTTAAACAAATTTTAAACATTCTATGTTTAAAAATGTATATTTCAAGTTTTATTTCAAAATGTCTTCGAAATTAAGAAAATGGATCATTTTGATGTGCAGCTTGGGGAGTGCATCGATATATCCATAGACTCGGAAGTTACTAATTTATATTTTAATTTCGGAGTATTTATATATTTATTTTTGATATAAATATTTTTATATCAAATTTTTTACTATTTTTACCGATAAGATATTACTAACAATTAGATAAATGTAATAATAAAATTGAAACCAAAATAATATATAATCATTTTGTTCAAAATGAACGAGTGTCTGGTCACTATTTATGGATGGAGGAGAAATTAGATAAACATAATATCAAGGACAGAACATAATTTATTTCATACAATTAACTTATTAAGGGCCAAAGTTTTCCAACCAATTTCCACCATCAAAATTGTGAAATTGCAACGAAAGGGAATGCCAAGGATTCGTTAACATAAATATTTTCTTCGTCGTTGTTTCTTCCACGTAGGTTTCACGGTCTCGTCAAAATTGAAAGAAATTTATAATAACATCATGAGAAAGTATCTAACTCTGGTCCTTACTAGGTTAAATATAACATAAATTTCGTTTGCGTAAGCGTATACGTTTCTGAGTACATGTACAGGCAGTGATCTTGGATATACATTAAGGGTAGTGTGTAAGCAAGTGGTCTGTGTAGTATTAAGTATGGTACGAGGTATGTCGTGCAGCGTTGTCAGTTAACTAGCCGGCGATGACCGCTGTGGATGAAGCTCCTATGACCGCAGCACTGGCAGCGGGACCAGCGACGACTGTAGCAGGGACCGCGTGACCAGCAACAACTGCAGCAGGGCCAGCCACGACCGCTGCTGGAGCAGCTGGGCCAGCTACGACCGCTGCTGGAGCAGATGGGCCAGCCACGATCGCTGCTGGAGCAGATGGGCCAGCTACGACCGCTGCTGGAGCAGCTGGGCCAGCCACGACCGCTGCTGCATGACCTACGACAGCCGCTGGGGCTGCAGCTACTATTGCAGGACCTGCTACCACTCCTGGTGCTGGTTAATAAATAAATTTATTTATTTATTAACAAAACTCTTATCTAGCTGGAGAAAAATGATACGAAGCAGTGAACATGAAATTCTTTCGTACTACTTAACTTTTTCGAGGCAATGATTTTATTTCAGACGAAATTTTGTTTGTTGAGTTGAGTTTACGCATTTCAATATTTTTCTATATTATATAATTGAAATTATAGACAGTATATATTTCTTTTATTTAAGTTATATATTATATAATTACGAAATGCAATAAAATAATTTTGTATTATCGTTCGGAATGAATGTAGGAAAATCGAAGAAGTACTACTTTTGAAGAAATTTTGTTTTTGGAAATATCTCTAGTTTAACAATGCAAGACTTTAATTCAAGACACTCGTTGTTTCATACAGAAATAGTACATACGATAGTGATGTGAAAGTAATAAAATGTATCTCAAAAAGTAGTAACTTACCAGCAATGACTGCTGGACCAACGAGGCTCGGTGCGGCTGAGCAAACCGATATGATCGATACGAGAAGGGCCTAATCAACAAATTGTTAAGAATCAGCATTATTGAGATCATTACGAATTAAATTAAACGCGATGTGAATCAAGCAGTTTAACTCGTTATTGGAAAATGCTTCTTCAGCGCGTGAAATTGAAAAATTGAAAAATCTGTTGAAAGTTCTCGTCTTGTGCGTTGGAGAAGATATTTTCCAATGATAAGTAAACTGTTAACAAGTTTCAATACGTCCAATACGAAGAAGAAGAACTTAAACAAATTCCAATAACTGGCCGCCATAAAATTATAAAGTTCCAAAATTACAAGTTCCAACAACGTGAAGTTAGAAAATCTTTAAATTTCTACAACGAGCAACTTCGTCACTTCAACTTCGTCATTCGAAATGTCATTTAACCGAATCGCAAAACAAAGTTACGACGAAGTTACCAACAGACAGAAATAAAAGAATAATGAAATTACTTACCAAGTATTTCATGATTGCTGCTTTGTTTATATGAGCAAACGTTGTTGTATCTGTCGAGTTAATTGTAAGACTGTCAATTACTTCACGACACTCGCTTTTTATACTCAGCTCTGACCCTGAATATCTAGCTTTCTCGACATTTTTTAACCAGGAAAATGTCACACGAGTAGCATTGTTAGCCGTGACCTATCTCTCCCAGTGAAAGAATTTCTACGCCGCGCATATTTCCGCAAGCTATTAAAATCTACGTCGGAGACCCACCTCTGGGTAGTTGCGTCGCGCCACGCGGATTAATAATTGCATCCACCCGGCCGTGGTGTCGTGACTGGCAACTCGAATGTGTCCCATAAGTCGCGAGAAATTCGCGAGAACCGACGAGTTACCTCGTTACGGAATTCACCTCCACTTACGCTGTTTGATTTAAGTACTCGAACTTGTTGCGGGCCATCTTGATCTCGCGAGTTGGAAACGTCGCTCTGCCACGATTATTCGCTAGGGTGTGTGCTCGTCGTTCCTCGGTAATTTGTCGCGACGAACGTAGATAGTGTCGAGTGCTGTTCGAGGGTTTGGATCGACGCCCCGAGGGATGCAACTGGTGCAGATCTGAGAGATGATTGAATAAAATGCGAACTGAAGATCTGAAGATGTATGTATTTCACAAAACGTACACTGTCATTTTCAATATTAAGCACTTGTCGCGGAATGTAACATTTTTCAATTGCGTGTTAATTGTTAATACGCTTAAGATTTTTCTTGTACAAATTGTTTGAATTGTACTTGATTCTTCCAGTTTTGAGATAGATGGAGCATTTGTTTCGAGACCTTTGAGCAGAAGGAACGTTTTTAACGAAGAACTAAATATATAGGATAGAAGAATTCTATCGAACGCTTTTTAACCGCTTGCGCTGGCAACTGATTGCGGACCATAACGAGTGACCGTATACAATAATTCGTCGCTTTCATTTTGAACGAAATCACTGGATAGAAATTATTAAGAAGTAATAAATTTATTATTTGTTTTACCTATATAGGTTATACTTATATTAATTTATTATTTGTTTATTATTTATTATTTGTTATTTATTATACTAATTTATTATTTGTTTTGATTGGGTTATACCGGACTAAAACGTTGGTACGATATCACTGAATAAAAATTATTGAGAAGTAATAAATTTATTGTTTGTTTTGCCTGGGTTATACTTAAATATATTTAAAACCGAGGAAATATTGGGACAAACAATTCTCAACGTGCATGGCACGTCGTTCCAGCGCAAGAGGTTTTAATCGCATTAATTCTTCTATTGCGTCCTACATTCAAGTTTCTCTGATTCTTTGATATTCTTCGCGATGTCGTATTAAATTAATCCCTGAGCTTGTCGTAACGGCGACATTAAAAATAATTAAAATAATTCGTCGACTTCGGAACAATGTTCTGGTTGACAGAAGCGGCGTGATCACGCTTCACGTGGTTCATAACATTCGTCAACATCGCTCGGTTTGAACGTTGAAGTTTCGGACGCCGGAAGATCTCGAGCAATTCCAACGTCTCGTCGGATCCATACGGAACCACAGATCTCGGCGGAGGGAGCAAATAAACGTTTGCTTACCAACGCGAGGGTTGAAAGTCATCGTGCTGCTCCACCCGCTGTTCCACCACTTGAATTTCATATTCGTCGTATGGAATTCACGTCTCTCTGTTAAACGGCTGTCGTAGAAACCGTGGGACGTAACGACTGGCCCGGTGTACTTGTTGCTGTCCGCTCATGGACCGACCTGCCTTTGAAATGCTAATGCATCTGGTGCTAATAATTTCCTCCAGCTACCCACGGCAACTGGAAACTGACCGAGTTTCGTTCGAAGAAAGAGAAATGAAAGAAAATTACGACTCGACGTGTATCTTATGTCTTCATTGACATTTTCGTCGAGGGTTGATACAATTGAAAACAGAGACTAGAGCCAGAATAGATGGAGAAGATTTAGATTATAATTGAATCATTCAACTGGAGGTTTTGTATACATCTTTCTATCCGTGGAAGTAATATCTTACCAGTTGTTATTTTGTGGACAATTATCTATAATATTGATAAAATATTGTACATATTTTGTATTTTACATTTTGTTGTTGTTGCTCAAACGTTTCTGTTCGAAACGAAGCTGTTTTTCGTGCTTTTTGGACAGTGTATTATCTGCTCTAATTTTCGTATTTCCCTGGCTTTCGTACATTTGCATGATATTATTAAATTGCAAGCTTTTGTGCAAATTCGTATTTCTGAAAGTACAATTGAAAACTGAAGTTCCGGTGGGAAATTGTTTTACGCGGTGAATGCTTCCGTAATTTGGAAGCTTTCATATATTTGAAAGTTTTCAGTTGAAAGATTTTTCACATTGCGTGCACCACGTGTGCATTTTTCTTTACGTCGGAAAACTCGTGGTCTATTCACTATTTATTCCTTCATTTGTATTTTCTGCCTTGCCGTTATGCATCGTCATTTTTAATTTTTCGTCGTACGATCGCTTATAGATGTGCTTATATTATTCTTTATATAATTGTATAAATGTAATAGCATAATGTATGAAATTTTATATTCGTAATGAAACAATTCGCCCTAATGTAACAATTATACACCATTGGCGTAACAATTCATGAAGAAATGTAAATGCAACGGCGGCCACGTTGCCCCATGCATAAAGGTGCATGTTATAATGCTCAGTTTGCCACGACGTTACATCAATTATTACAATCCACTTGGTGAATATTCAACATTACACTTGCAGCATCCACGCGAAACAGCATAATGAGGAGGAGAGAAGGAATCGCGGTTGAAACGAAATTATTTTCGTTATAAATGAATAATCATTTGAACAGAATATTTTTGAAACTGTATACTTGGCAGATCTCGAGCAAAATCTTAAACGGCGTGCGTAATAATTTCAATTTGTGTAACAACACATAGATGTTGTACCAAGAATGATTTATACTGTATACGAAATCTATAATCGTTGGTTTATTTATGCTCTTGACTGTGAATGAAGAGAGACAGAGGGTTAGCGAACAAAGCTACGCTCGGATATCATCAGGCACGAATAGAGAGAGTGAATACTCGGCTGATTAGAGCAAGGCGTTCAAGCAATTTCCTATAATTACTGGCAAAGGTGGACAGGTATCGTCCCACAACGTACTGTCAATCGTACAATAGGCCGCGAAATACAAGAGGCCGGCCACACCACGATGTCGACGATTATATTCCAAAGCTAGAACAATGCTTTACCAATCGGTGTCGTTTATAATCGCGGGGCCCGTATTACAATCGCTACGCTTTGCTTTGACCAATCGATTGTGAAATTGTTAGGAGACAAGATCACAGAGGTATTGAACGGAGATTTCGGTGAAATTTCACAGACGTTGAAGATTCGTCGAAGGCTTCTGACATGGCGTATTCCGTGTTGGTCAGTCGCGAATTTAAATTGACAATTGATATTCTTTTATTCACCGGAATATAAAATACTGAGAGGTAGATGTAAGAAACAGAATCACATCGGAATGGAATGCTGTCAAAAGTTACGTACAGGTAAACTCAAGTACACTTGTTATGAATTTTTAAAATTTACGAAAAAACCTTCGACACCTTCTAAATTAATTTATGTGCCATTCTAAATTTCTTCCTATGAAAAATTACGAATTTCGAATTTCGACCAGTTATTAATATTACAATATTTATATTATTATTATATTATATTATATTATATATATTTATATATTATATTATTATATTTATATATTATATTATATATATTTATATTTATATTTATATTATTATTTATATGTTTATAATATTCGTTTCAATCTATGAAAATCATTGAAATAGATTATGAAACAGAATCTCTTCACAATATAAAATTTAGTACATGAAAAGGTATTGTTCTATATTACTCAAGCTTGTTTCCTTATTAATTTCGATAATCGAGATCATCATTCATATTTTCATTACATACAACGTTAGAATATTAGTCGAAATCCGGCACATGGTCAAATATGATTATCCAGGTGGTCGAATTTTGGATGGAAAGGAAATGGGGAGTATTCGAAGAGTCGGTGGTTTGAACAAACAAGCATTGTTTCGCAAATTTCAATTGTCTCGGGTAAATAAGTTCGTTTAACGTGTCCTCGAGTTCGGGCGAAACAAAAGACTAAATGTTGTAATGAGGACAATGGCGTTTCTCAAAGTTTCAAGCACGGAAATGTTCTGACGATGTAATTGCGACTGGTGCGTTAAACCGGCGCGAAACTTTCGGGTATTGTCTTTCTACGCCAAACAATTAATGAGCCTAAATGTGTCAGATGTGTCAGAGCGAAGAAAAATATTTTTGGCGAAACAATTCTGGCAAATTGTAAGAGTCGATCGAAGTTACAGTTATGAATGTATTTTCTGACACGTGATGATGGTACAACTAAAAAGGAAATTAACAGACGTGAAAATTATGAAAGGATAAGATTTTTTTTCATTTATGACGTTTTCGAGGAAATTTGTCAATTACACAATTATAAATTTTTTCTAGCTGTTTGCATCGCCAATTAGAAAACACTGTGTCGCTATTCAGACACTTGCATTTGTGTATGTATATTATAGAAAATATTTCATCAAGATCTAAATTATCATGACTGTTAGACTATAAATTTTCACGCAATTTCATATTCTTAAGGATTGAAACTGGATGAAAAAATCATAGAAAACACTTTCGATAGTCAATATATCTTCTTATAATACAAGTATTATATGCAATTCCTAAAAATTTCCAGTCCATTTCCAGTGAACATGCTGTTCGAATATAAAAATGAGAGAAAGGACAGTTGTAACTAAACAGAACAGTGAAAATTCCTCTCCAAAGTGGCATGCGTTTATTATTACACAATATAAACATATAAACGATACATTGTTATGTACACGGAATACATATAAAAGATAGAATGACGGAGGTACTAGCGGTAAATGACGGAGATCGTGGCGCGTGGTCGGTTTTCAAAATGGCAGGCATCGGAGGAGATCAGTCGAAGATGTCATTGTGTTGTACGGGTATCCAGCGTGAACCATGCGATTACCAGTGTCCGTCGGCACGAAGGATGCTTCCAACACCGGCTGGCCCAGCCGCTATGCTACCGGATGGTCCCGCGATCAGTGCCGGAGCTGCGATGGGTCCAGCGAGAGCAGCTGGACCAGCTGCAGGTCCAGCCAACACCGCTCCTGCGAACAGATAATACGAAATTAATACGAAATCTGTTGTACAGCAAGGATTACATTCGTAGCCAACGTCCAGTAGTGTCCAATTTACCGAATTCGTTCACTCGGATCCTATTATGCGAGTCAATGCCACGTGGTTTGTACAAGTGAGTATAAATCTAGTTACACGAGCATCAGCTCTTGTTACACTTGACGAGAAAATGGCAATGGAAGAAAGAGATAGCGAAAAGAGTTTCATTGGAAGTACGTACAATGAGTATACATCTTGACGATATATTTAATGATTTCTAAAAATTTTCTATTCTGTGCTGAATGTTAATTGATGTCACCGAATATTGGTTCTATTTCGAAATTTCTAATTTGAATTTTAAAATACAAAATAATTTAAATTAATGTAATGCAATTATTAATGCAAAATTAAAATTGTGATGTAATGCAAAAATTTCTACAGTCATCTATGAACAGTGTGTCAAGTTATTATTTGAGAATTTGGCTCTGGAAATTGTAAGAATTGTATTGATTTGGTACTTTGTAACAATCAGTCTTTGGCGTATCACGATCTTGTCGAAAGATTTATGTCCCCGCATAAATCTTTCATTCTGTTTGAAAGGCTATAAATATATATACTGTCGTATTACTATCTCAGTATTAATAACACACTCCGAACACTTTATTTTCAAACGTATTTACTTTTGGCTCTCAATTCCATAATTCACAAAATGAGAATTATAAACATTATTATTTCCGAAAAATTTATCTTCAAACCGATTATTATTTATACTGTCTCCATTTAATAAATAAAACCATTTTAAATATTATTGAACATATTCAATATTATGGGATATTAATTATTGAACGACACGATCGTTGAATATTAATCGTACGGCTGACTAATGAACTCAGAAGAATCTGAGAAGCAAAATGGCGCTGACCAGTCTAACTTCCAGGAAGCTCAATCGTGCTTACGTGTATTACGATAACACGAGATAAACGGTGCAAATTGCAATGAAGCCGCGATAAAATACGGGCATTCGAAACGAATGAACGTCGCGTAGATGAATAGAGATCGAGCTACTACCACGCGTGGTTGAATTTATTGTCCATTGTCAGAATCGCGTTCGCGATATATATGGATCGTTGTGCGTTCGTAGTTTAAGCAAACTGTTATATGGAGATATACGGAACTGGTTTGCCACAATGTCTAATCAAGACTGCGAAAAAAAAGGGTGTCAAATCAAACGTTATCTATTTCGGACTATTTACTCTAAAGGTCAAATGCACGCATGCTATTGACAAGCACAGTTTCTCCCGTATGTGATTTTTTGAGCGTTCGAAACTAAAATTTCGTTTACTTAGACAGGAAGAAAGTTATTATATATAGTTCGCTGCGTGTATGTAGTTATTTACGTAAAATTGTATATATTGTAGATATTTGTTCCAATCTAAAGTACTGATAAAATTATCCATTTTCTGCAATGATCTGCACATTGCACTCGTATGTAATACAAGTATAATTAAAAGTTGAGAAAAATAGTAGTTGGATTATTGTAATCTAACGAACTATTTTCTTATTTCTATATATCTGATACAATGTAATGAACTGGATTTAATCTTATACTCGATTGTCATCTTCGATTATCCAACGAATTTTTCAACGAATATACATATATATATATGTAATATGACGGACAAGAAAACGTTGAAAGTTGGTACTTGTTGTAAATATAGTCCAAGAATTACTAATTTTCAACATCAACATTCTATTTCGAGATGCACATTACACACTCGTTGTTCCTGTTGATCGCAATCAAATTCAATTCCATAAAACTACGTTATTTCCCAGGTATCTCGGCCAAGTATCTTTCCAACGAATCTTCCATCCTTGTGGAACGTGCTCGTGTTTACTCACCCCATGGTGCACCCCAGGGAGCAGCGACAGCCGGCCATGGTGCAGCAGCGTGGCCAGCAAGAGCTGGCCATGGTGCAGCAGCGTGGCCAGCAACGCTGCCAGAAACTAGCGAGGGACCAGCGACTGCTCCGGTTACCACGGCACCGCCATCAACAGCTCCCGACAGGCGAGCAGGTCCAGCTACCGGTCCAGCAAGGGCCGCAGGTCCCACGATCGGTCCACTGAGTGCAGCTGGGCCTAGCAGAGGGCCGGCCAAAGCAGCCCCGGGTGCCAAGATCGCCGATGGAGCTGCAGTCGCTACCGAGAGGGCAGCGACGAGGAAGACCGCTACGAGGGTGCACATGTCGCCAATTGTTTCTTGGAAAGGGCTTGCTAAGCTAGCGGAATAAATCTGCCTCGATGCTGGCTGCAGTGGATGTGCTGGTATCTGGCTGGTTGGATGGTGCTTTTATAGGGAGCATTGTCTGTGATCGCTCCCGCCAACCCCAAGGGCGGGGCACAGGACACGCCAAACATTCTTCGCGCGTGGCCGTTTCCCCGGCTTATCGGCATTGAGACAACGTCGGTCGAGAAAACGGCGGCGACACGCGGCCACACAAACGCTGTTTAACGCCTCGTGCCAGCCCACCACCTCGCGCTGTGGTGGTTTCCCCGGAGGTCGCCCGCTCTCGATTCAACGTGCCCGTTGCATCCGTTTCAGACCGCGGCGGTGATTTTTCTTTACAATTGCCCCCGTGTCCTTGCGTACACGGCAGAACACGGCAATTCTATCGAGCAGAAAGATCGGCGCGTTGATAGAACGTAAGTTTGACTGTTCGAATGGCTCGAATCGTGGGTCTAGTCACGGTCCGGGGAATTTTGTGGTTGAAAATGTCGCGAGGGAAGAAAAAAAAAAAAAAAAAAAAACACCGAATTGACTTTGTATGTTCTTATTGTGAAACAGGACTTTGCGTGAAAGTCCTGCGACAGGACTTTTTTATTCCGTGGCGTTTCGTCGCGGATAATTAATCGCGCGTGTAATTAAATGTAATTTGTTTCCCCTCTCCCGAACGTCGTTTAATTAACAGCGAATTTTTTGACGAACGACGTAGGGCAAAAAGTGGTTGAGGAGGAAAGATCGGTGTTAATTTTATCGTTTTATCGTTAACATAAAATGCTCATAAACATGTTGCGAAATGCGTTAAACACAAAACTGTAGAAGAAAGAAGTAATTTCACTGCGGTATACGTAACTCCACAAATGTCAGTGTCTTTTTACTAGCCACATTCAGTTTGAATGGAATCCGCAGTTTAAAATTAATAATACTCCGAAAGAGAGTAAATGTCGAACTACATCGGTCGATATATTAAAAAGTATTCAAATCCTACCGAAAAGAAAAAGAAAAACTCAAATTAATTCCAACTCGTCGATTCGTCCGTAGGAATCTAACAACATAAATCAAGATCTCAATAATATCATAGTAGCATAATGTAACATTGCAACGTAAATCTGCGATGAATGCCAATTACCAGAAATCAAGAACAACGAAATACTTCTACCCTTTTCCTCTCGAAGGATATTATACATTCAAGGTTGAAGAAACCTGTCATCACGACCTTCGCGGTCGAAGAAGAGTCGTTTTCATTTCCTTCTCGTCGATTTTCCAAACAATGAAACGGATCTGCGCGAGGCAGTCGGCAACAGTGTGCCAGTATGCGTCGGCATTGTAACGTTGCACATCCGTTTAGGCGAGGCACTCGGTCGCGTTAGCCCACGCTCGTCGTCCCCAAGCTGCGATTGTCGCCTGGAATGACGGTCTCTCATTGTAGTCGGACACGGCGTGCGTGTCACGGTGGCACCAGCCTCGCAATGGATCAGCGTGCCTCGTGCCACGGATCGTTTCGAATATCATTGTTGGGCGTAGCACGCACTTTCGAAGGTGGCAAAGGTGACCGGCGACGCGATTGTTCGAATAATTGCTCTCGAGCGAGCAGCGCTGCTCGAAATCGGCTACGAGGGGGGCGGTTTTTCAGCGAAGATCGCCGCAAGATCGAGAAGTTCAAATACATTTTTTTTCCGCTTGAAGCGTTTCTTTCCGTTGAAGAAGCAGCTTGCTTCTTTTCCTCTCTCGAGTCGAAATGGATTTTCTTTCCTTGCATTTGTAATATTGCCAGAGTTGAACTTGTTCTTTTGGTTTTATATTTGGAAGATTTGCACCACGCAGCCTGTCATTTGTCAAATTTTATTTCGATTCTTTTTTTCTTCTACTTTGGTACGAAACGCTGGCATTTCTCAGCTTCTACTTTCCATCTTTGGGTTTCAATTTTTTTCACGTTCGAAGATTGATGTGAAATGTTATTTTTGACCTTCGCTCAATGTGGACCGAATTTTACGGTTATTTTTATTTATGGGTTTGTTTCAGCATTGAATACACTTTATCACATTGTACGAGCTTTTATGAATATTATTTACAATCATATCGCGGAATAAAAAGCCGTATCTGGTGAACATTCGTATATATCACGACCCAAATTGATGGTTCCATTTCTCCATATGTATTTTACTAAATCAGTCATAATTTTTCTTTATCTTCCATTAATACTAAATCGTTACATACATAAAATTCTTCAAATTCTCAAGAATACAATCTATAAAGTATTTTCAATAATAACCCTTTTTTAATTATATCCCAAAAAATATAAATAAAATTAACCGATTTTCTTTCTCGCTGTCTAATTCCAAACATTTCACCATGATTATTGTCTCTTTTCATTCTCACGATAAATATCGATGGATTTTTTTTATCGTATCACTATATTTTACCTTTAAAAAGTCGGAAGAAATCCTCGATGAGGATTGTAAGTTTTTCGCGAGCGTCCGATTTAAACGACCCGGTTGAAATTGAAATCGTAGGTTGCAGTTAGAATCAGACATCGAGATATCGGCGCGATGGCCAATCGTTTACGAAGAGAATCGAGAACAGGGAACATATTTCTTGCCGCGACAGGTGCATAAAGGAACGTCGAATCAAAAATGACAAGGTATTTGATTTACGGCCAGCGGAGATTTTTATACGGAGCCATTTTTAAAGTCTCGAATGAAGTGAGCGAAAAAAATAGTGCAACGCGAACACGGACGTGCCGTTGGCTAGGCTGGTGGTCGATGTGACCGTTTTTGTCCATGGAAATAATGCGTATCGTCAATTACCTGGTTTACCATTACAAAGCCCAAAGTGAGAATAGGATTATCAAACCGTTTAGAAACGCCACAGAGCCAGTCGATCTCGTCGATCCGATAACGTTTGTCAATATCCATGCTGTTTCTCCACTTTGTTTCGTTTTTATTTCTAGTTTACAGTCAACGCGGGCGAAAGAAAATTCAGGAATTTTCTATAAAATCGAAACTGTGCGAGATATATATGGAGAAATTCGAAAATATAGATAAACGCAGGAACGTAATAATAAATAAATAGGAATTATTACAAAACTACAAAAGTAATAAATTTCTAATTTATTGACAATTTATACAAAGAAACTTATGTACAGATGTAATAAAAAAATTCGGGCAAGTCCGACAGCTCTTGGTCAAAGACACGTTGTAGAAATTATGTTATATTACATTGTCAACGTGCGAAGAATGTATTAATGAATACATTCGAACGAAGAAACATTACACAAAGAGTCGTATATAACTGGCTGTTTAAACGAAGGCCTTCGTACAAATCCAACGCGTTGATCATTTTTCTTTTCGTTCTGGGCGTGGTGTCTCCAACACGATCAAACGTTGCGTCACCGTATTTAAACGTTTTTGTGCCGATCGGTCGAGCTTTTTCACCCCGTCACGCTCCAGGAAGTCGCCAGGACCACCAGCCCCGCCCTTACCCCCGATAAGTTCACCGACCCACGTGCTCGCGTGTGTCGCCTATAAAAGCTCACTTAGCATCAACTTGCACGGCAATGTTCCATCGTGATGGCTGATGGAAAGTCGCTGCTCGGAATCTTGGCGGCCTCCGTCGTCCGCGAGGGGATATTTCACCGATCCTCGACTTAACTAGAGGAGGACAGGCCAGATCGAGGAACGCCGCCGATCGATGGACCCTATCGATGAATCGAGAATCAACCTTACCTACGTCGAGTTTGTCTCTGGTTCCTTCACCTTCAAATTCGGCTCTCGTTGAATTTGAACTACGTATCCGAAATATCCGCGCCACGGTGGCCATCGATCTCCACTGAACTCTCAGGTAAGAAACTCTCGTATATTTATTCACGATTTCAGACACGCTGCCTCTCGTAATTTTCTCTCTCTCTCTTTCGAGATATTTGTAAAAATTATGCGAGTAGGAAAACTTTTGGCCGATGTGTACGTACTGCTGGAGACTTCCGCGTTTCTTTGAAACAGAGAAATTTAACTGTCACACGAATATGTGTAATGAATGAAAATTGTAACAATCAATTTTGGTCGATTTGGTGCATATTTTACTTTCCCGAAATTACCTTTAATTTTCGATTAATTTTGATAAGAAATGGTAATGTACAAAATGTTAAGTAGTACTAAGGAACTATGTTTCTTAATCTACGCTTGATACACGAGCGAGGCGGATCGCGCAATGAATAACGATCGAGCACGAGGAGAGCGCGGAACGTACGCGCGTTCAGAGATTTATCCCGTTCTCAGACCGATCTTCTGACTCCGAAACACGCCGTTACCTACCATATAAATATCCGTTGCTTGCTCCGCTGAAAAATAACGAGTTATTTTCCCCAAGTTGATGAACGATCCTCCGCGAGATCGTATCTCGAGTCGAATATAACCTTTAAATATCCACGGATTTTACGATCACGTTCGATCTATATTCCCTATCGCTCGCCGTCCATACGAAAAATCATCCTTAACGTCCATTTCACATTACGATTACGTGTATCGACATACGCGTCCGGAAGCGAAGTATAGAGCCTCGTTCGAGTCTGATCAACTCCGCTTTCTGAGTTTCTTTAGATGGATACGCGATTAATGTCCAATTCTCAAGAAATTACTTAATTTCTCCTTTCTTTCGAGTTTATCAGTGTTTGTAACATCGTTATTTTCTTCTTATTTTCCAATTTTTAATGTTGATCAATGTGGCTTTTGAAGGATCCGTTTGTTCTTGTATCTATTGTCTTGTGTCACACACTCTTGGACAAGGTTGAAGTTTTGTCCATTTGAATTTTTGAACAAAAGAGCAATTTTCACCAAATTGAAAAAAAATCACTCGAGAATTCCTTGAAACCGAAAGATCACTATCAATTATTCTTTGTTAACTGTGGATTCTGTTCTTTACCAACTTGACAGGAAGTTTCTTGAATTAAAGATGTGTATGATACGTAAAGAAATTTTTAAGACGCGTATAAAAAGATATTAAACACGTGTGTACTAAGCAAATCCTTAATTTTTTAATACACAATTAATTCGTGTGTTGCTATTGTATTTTACTTCGAAACCTCACACGTACGTATGTATATCGTAACATCGTGTATCACCTAAAATCATACCTAAATAATATCTAAAAGTCTACTGAAATCATAACCAAAATCGTGAAGTCGGCCGAATCTTCAGCTTCTCTATCGCCCTGTCCATGATATTTTGTATTCTCAGGCCATTCAGTGGATCGTCGAGGATGCACGAGCAGCGGCGCGTCGAAGGATCCATCGATCGTGGCCCGTTCCTCGATCACCGGCAACTCACGAGGCATTAACAACCCAGCCACAACCGTATCTACCTCGTTATCAGCCACACCTTCTCTCTCGTTCTCGTCTCGTAACGACAGTCTCGCGAAAACAATTCGACCTTCTTGCTTCGCGCCAGGACGAGATCGATCCGCTTGGAATGTCCACGGTAGTCAAGCATCTGTTCAACTTGCAATTCCTGTTCGAGACAGCCTAACTGATTTATCGCGATCCGCCGCGTTCGTCGATGAAATACGAGCTAGGGTATCTTGCTCGTATGGCTGGACAGAGTGAAATTCCCGTAAATCGACGATTTTAATTCGACGATCGAAGTCGAAATTACAGTCGAATCGAAACGCGCGCTAATATCAGGAATTGATTGTTACACAATCGTATAACAGTATCGGCCAAAAGTTTGATAATTTTGTAACTTTGTTGCATTTTATGTTTGATTTAATTGTAATAAGTCACGCACGTGGTGTGAATTAAGAAGGAAAATTAATTTGCAATCCTGTGGAATTTGTAAATGAAATTTAAATCGAAGATTAATAAGTTGACAAATTGCAGTCATAAAGACTCAATGACAAACGTTTACGTAAGAAGATGAAAATAGTAAGACGAGGGATTAACATTTCGTTATACGCTGATTTTTGTAATTTTCTGATTATGCTACATATGTAACGATAGACGTGTTCATTTCCAATATACAATGTACCAAAATACTCTACGTTATTAGAAGTAATTTTATTATTATTAGAAGTAATATTAGATCCGATATTGGAATTATTTTTCACAGAACGTGTACTCCAATTTTCACTAAAATGGCAAAATTAAACAAAACAGTTTTAATTTAGATATAATTAAAGTAACTATCTGTAAGATACTGAAATTTAATCCTCCATTAAATTTTAATAAATTTAGTAGTGAAAATAACAGAGTATGAAACTCGATTCTCTGTATCGAACTTCTTTAGTAAATTTATTTCGCTTTTTAGTATGTATACTGTGTATATATTGTATGGGGTGGCTATCTCGATTGTATGAAACATTATATAAAAACCTAGACTGGGTCATTATTTAATATATTATATAAGAAATTGGTATTATTTATAAATAAATGTATATAAATCTGCATTTAATATATGTTTTTAATTGTTGGCATGCAATTTATTAATTTAGTCGCTTAGAAATATAATGTAAGTATAAATATATTAATAAAAGTTAACTATCACGTTAGCTTCTCAAAGAGTATAGAAATATTTCTCAAATAGTTTCGAAGATTTACTAGGTACCAGGTTAAAAAAAAGAACGTGGTTTAAAGTTTAAAGTTTCAAATCAATGTTTCGGAAATAAAAAACAAAAATCATTTGCCGTAATTTCGCCGATTGTACAAACATCAGAGAATCCTCCTGGCTTTAATTTTCAGTGAATTTTACAACATGCAATTTTAAATGTTCAATTTATTTCGATTATCATTCGTAATTAATATTCAATATTTTAAAGAAAACTAATAACTTGCTTCTACAATTTTATTTGCACAGACAATAGCAAGCTCTAAAATAAATTTTCAAGAATAACTTTTACGTTATTAATTTATGGAATCGATCAACATAGCTTCTGCATGATTCGATCGCGACTAACAAGTTTTTCATATTCGCGGCAACAATTTGAAATGAAAAGCGTGCATTTTGAAACGTGTAATTCTCAAGTAATTGTGAAATCGGTTGTCGAACAGACATATTTTCTCTGCTCGTAATTTTCCATTTCACGACCTCGGAATAAAGTATAGGACTGATGAATAACTCGTTCATATATCGAAGTTGAAATTAGGGCGCATCATTTATTTCCTTTTAATCCCGCGCTAGCATTGTGCTCGCAGCAAAATTGCAATAAATAAACCAGTGTCTCGCGTGATTTAAATCAACATCGCGGGGTATTCGGCTTGGAAAATGGAAAAAAAATGGAAATCCTTCCAGCTGTGAGAACGTCAATTCACGATTTATATCCCGTGAATGTTCATCGTAACGCTAAGACATGAAAACCACGAGAAAATGAAACTGAAACTGAATTTTTCTACACTTTTGACTTTATTGTTTAACATAAGTGTTAGAGACTCCAGACTTTAGGTTGAAATACAACTCAGAATTTTTAATGTTTCTCGTGTTTTTAATAAAACTGTAGGATTTCAATTACGAAAAAGTGCACCTCGATATGTTACATTTTGCTCATATACACATAGATGTATATCTTCACTTGATTACTTGATGATGACTTGATTTAAAATTTCCGCTTTATAGTGAAGAAAAAGAAACTACAATTGACATATAATTTTATTGTTTGAAATTTTCCTAATAATATTCACTGAAAGTTTTCGAGCTCAGATAAACAAATATAGTAATATACTTTATTTTTATATTAATTACAAATTAACAATAGAAATCAAGTTCGAGAAACATGATTCTCACCAGATTCAAATTAAATTGACATGATTTTCAAGGTACGTCGAATGACACCTGATAATTCAAGACGACAGAAAAATGAAAGCAGTATTCATTGTTGTAATGAAGAATCATATGACTAATCAAATAAAGAATCAAATCCTCATTTTAATTTCCTCAATAATAAAGACAATAGTAAGCAAAGTATAAGATAAATGTGTCAATTTTCCAAAATAACTGTGACTATCACTGTACCTGCGTCATAGTTTCTTATTGCAAAATTAAAATTACTTAACGACAATAAAACTGTTAAAACTGTTAAAACTGTATTCTGTCAAATTAAATTCGGTCAATGTTTAAACGCCGACAATCAGGAAAGGAAATGATTCAGAAGTGGAAGGTTCAGCGAATAATCTCTATTTATAAAAGATTCCTGTGTTCGGTTGGCCACAGATCTCGACACGTTGCGAACGATATATATCGATGACGATCGTTCGTGTCGTGGCAAAAGGATAAGGTCGTTAGATGTGTGATTCGGACACGGTTCGACGATCGTCAAATAAACGCGTTGTCGTCGGTTTCGTGACGATCGTCTGAAGAAAAATCAGCCGGTGTGTAGATCGATCGCGGTGAACACAGGTGTGCGGGCGCGGTTCAGTTCGAATAACGCCGGACTAACGAACCACGAGCGCATAATTCACCGAAGGTCGTACACGAGATACGCGTTATCTGTTAATTCGTTCCTTCGAGCCGCTGGACCTCTATCCACCGATCTAAACACGACAATTACCGCGCGCCATTTCTTTCTTTCTTTCTTTAAGATTGATTTTCATGACGAAACAATGGTCATTTAAATGGTTTATCTCGAGCACCATTCCGGGATAAAGTATAGGACACTGTATATATTATTTGCGTTACGTGTCATGAAGCAGAGAGAATGTAGTAGATTATAACATCAATATCCTTGAGCGTGGATATATACGCGTGGTTTGATGTCGAGAGACGCAAAATTTCCTTGGAAATGCAAAAAACGAAAATGTAAATATAAAAATATTTGTCAGTAGCCGCGAGGCGAACGAGTTCGAATGCCTTCCATGTCAGAATAGAAAGACAATTCGCAAATATTAATGAATCGAGAAAATGTATTGTGGAAGAGCGGGAAGAATTAGGCCAAAAAATCACTAGAAAATTATATAAATTTTCATCTCGAAGAATGGCTGTCGTTTTCAAATGCAAAGAAGGCCGTACTAAATATTAAACAATTATCAGATTATCTCGTTTCTTTCGTGTTTATTCATTGTTTGGAACGATCGTGAGAACTGGAGAGATCGATTTAATCGCCTGCATCTTCTGCCGGATGATTTATTACTAGAATTATATTGGTGATCATTTCGCGAGAACGAGAGGTTCGGGAAGTAGGTGCATCAGTCGATCGTTTCGTCATCAAGCAGAGTGTATCGAATCTGCACGAATTCTGAAAGGTCCGATTGATTTGGCCATTGGGGCGCAGGCAATGGAAAAATTTACGATATTGAATCAGATCGTTTTAACGAAATGAAACAGGGAAACAACGTTCAACTTTGAATTACGTTCGCTTGCAAATCAATAACCTTCGTGGTATGTTTTCGACGGAGAAAAAATCTTTCGTCTTTCAAGATATTAATACGTTAAATGAATTCAAATTAACTTTGACGAAGTGAAAACTCGATGTGAAGTAAAGTGGAATATTTTAAATTGCTAGAGAGCAGTGGTTTCCAATATTCTTTTTCGTCGAAGTTTCGTCGAGGAAGTTCCGCACATTCCAAATACGAAATCCAGAAGAATCGTTTGATTCTTTGAGATTGGAGAATTGATCAAATCATTTTTTAGAATTATGAAATTCTCCTTTAACTGAGATTCTAATACAGGAACAACAAAGATCGAAAAGAATTGCGTAGCACGATCGAAATGGTCAATATGAACATCGATTTATCAATTTAGAGAAATTGTAAATTTTCTTCTTCTCTTCTGTTTTTTTTTTTTTTTTTTTTTTTTTTTTTTAGGGAAAAAAAAAAAAAAATTCCTTGAGAATTTTTTTTTTTTTTTTTTTTTTTTTT